GAGGCTGGATGATGTGCGACATCAGAGCCAGGAAGGATTGTAGCACTGCCGCGACGGTGGCAGAAGAGGGAGAAGCACCAGCTGAAATGGCACAGAGGGAAGGAGGAAGGGTGGCCGAAGCACTGCCCCTTGGTGGTGGTGGGGCCCGAGGGCCCTGGCAGTAGGGTGCCAGCCGATCCCGGAGGAGAGGAGAGGAAGAGGGCAAGGCAAACAAAGGATCCGGTCAAGCGATACGGTAGGAGGCTGCAACTGGGGTCACAGGAGTAGCTGGTGTTTTACCGTGTCTCTCATGTAGTCCCTTGTTCTGGGAGAGATAGCGTCACTGTAGTGGAAGGGATCCCACCACCAGCCACTCCCGATAGCCCAGAGGACCACCAGCCCAACTGACCGTTCAACCATCAACCCAGCCACCAAAGCCGACCGTGCAGATGCTAAGCGAGATGGAGCAAAAGCGGGGTAGGGAGGAGAGAGGCCTCACGATGAGGCCCCCAGGGTGAGGAGTGGACCCCCATCCAGCAGAGGCGAGACACCAGGTGGGGGAAAGAGTAGAAGAGAGGCCCCGTTGGGCGAAAGGATGGAAGGCATCAGCCTGCACCCCCCGGCGGGGGGTGCAAGGCTAAAGAAAAGTGGTGATAGTTCCTCGGTGTTGAGTCGTTCCCGATTAGGAAATATTTTTCAATGACCGGAGGTGTAGTGGAGACGGAGGATGGACTTAAAGCTAGGGAGGCACCTTGATATTTATATTCCGCGTCTGGGTGGTCGCGGCCTACATTCAATCCCTTACTGACTATGTTCCTGCCATACTAACGTTTCAGTGTCTTTGGAGTGCGAACTCCGTTTGACCCTGAAAACTAACTTCCCCGCTCTCTTCCTGAGTGGAGTGATCAGCTCCGTCAAAGGACTTATCAATGACTCTTCTATGTGCATAGCTTAGAGTGCATGACGAAGATAACTAACTCGACCAGTGAGTTGTTATTAACCAATCATAACTAGGTCTTCCGGATGACTCTAGCTTACGCGAGCTGAAGGGACATGCATATTACTTCTTGTAATTGCATATAGACTTGCAGAGGTCGTAGCTCAATAACTAACCAACCAATCTGAACCAACTAAGTCTTATCTTGTAGAGTGGAGCTCCTTCTATGTTATCCAGTGAAAACCCCTTGGTCGCATGCCTCGTATCTCCGCGAAGCGGGCTGCATAGATGCCTTGTCATATCGTGCGCTAATATTTTAGCGCTACGAATACTAAGGCGGGGCCCGGAGTCGAACACGCGACCTTATGCATTTAGTCACGTGCCGTACCGATTACGCTATTATGTGTAACAGATCTTAAGTAAATATACCTGCACTTTAAAGCTCAGTATCCTGTGGGGGTTCTTACCCAATATGTGACTTCATAGAATAATGAGTAACAAATTAATAGGGACGCTGTACAAACAATGAACCGACTATACGAGCCATGTTAGCCACAGTTGAACTTGGTGATAGAACTCGTTCCAATCCAGCAGTCCCAGAAAAATATCCCGCTGGTTCACCGGAATCAAATCGAATGGGAGCCCTTGCCGTTCAAGATATTGATCATCGGCTGATGACGTTTCCGGAAATTGCAAGAGAGGCGGAGGTCGATGTTTCTCGAGCGACAGCCTACAGAATGATGAATCGACATCATAATCTGTTTCGTTATAAATGCCGAACAAAGCCACCCCTAGATTTTGCTTGTAAGCAAAAGCGCTTACAACTGGTTGACTGGGGACTTACTCAGTCAATTGAGTCATTCGTCTTTAGTGACGAGATGATTTTTGAAGTGGGAGCTCCCCGAAGGCTTCGGAATGTCACAAGACATAAAGGAGAAGATCCTTATGCTAGTGCTGTACCTGATAAAGCAAAATCAGGTCTCAGTATTATGGTATCAGGAAGTATTTCACTTGGGTTTAAAGGACCTTTATGGGTCTGGATTAGAGAGACTGAGGAAGAGCGGAGGGCAAATAATAAGGAGCTTGCACGGGAGAATTAGGAAAGGGTTGCACGGAGAGAACAGAGAAGGATTAACGCTACAATTCCAGGTACCGAAGAATACGACTATCTTCAAGCCTTAAATCGAAATATCGCTCAGTATAATGCTAATCGTGGACCAAATGAGCCTCGCCATATGCCACGCCGTCCATATTGGGAATTTGGGGAAGAAATACATGGAAGAAGTATAAGAGGAGGTTTAGATTGGTTTCTTTATAGGAAGGAAATTCTTCATGCCCGCCTTTATCCATTTGTTCAACAAATACAGATGGAAACCGGACGACACTGTTGGGTGGTAGAGGATAATGCTGGAAATCACACTCTGGCAGCAAAGTTGGACCGGGCAGAGGCTGCCACAAAAGGTATTCATTGAATTCCAAACTGGCCACCAAACTCACCAGACTTGAATGAGATTGAGCCATGTTGGAATTACTTAAAGGACAGAATGATGGAGTATAGATTTATAGGGACAAGTGAAAGGACTAGACAGGAGGTAACAGATGCACTTAGATATGAGTGGGATCAAATGTCTCAGGAGTTGGTTGACCGCTTTTGTATAAACTTTCACCTAAATCTCTTACAGGTTCGTGCATGGGGAGGGGACAATAAGTTTAATGCTTAATTTCAGTTATCAGTTATCATGTATAAGTATACAGTTATACCTCGCTCGCTATCCTGGATCATGATAATCCAGATACCTCGCTGTCCCATATGAATCTTGATGGACTCTGAATTTCATTCCACTAAAACCTCGCCGGCCATCCCACGATCCCTTGCTGCACTGGACAACTTGAAATTCTTTCGATTTTGGCCATCCGGGAAAGTGAGGTACGACTGTATAAGATTATATTCTACCATCTCATCTTGAGTTTTACCTTTAATTCCTCATATAGTTAGTCTCCAATACTAGTTGTCAGCTATACCCTTTCAGTAGAATAGAACTTCCGCCACCTGCTAGGACAAATCAGGTGCCAACTCTTGGCTGAGACGCACGAGTAATTTACAGGTGACAAACTGTTTTCCTGCAAACCAGACTGCCTTGCTACCATGGGGATTACCGTGCGGTACTATGCTCGAGCAGTAACACAATACCGGTAGGCTTTTACTCTCGAGTATATCATATGGTCTCATACTCGGGATACCCTCCTTGTTAGTCTAAGAGGGGAAAAAAAAGAAAAAAAAGGAATCCCCCTTCAGAGTTCCTGACAGAGCATCTGACCGCCATAGAGTGGTGGTGGAGAGTCCGTGAGGAATGCGTGATCACGTGTATTGTACCCGAGTGCCGCACCGGTATCGTACTCGTAGTTTATCAAGCCTTTCTCCCACTATCCTCTTCACCAAAGGGTACCCATACCAAAGCCCAGAAAGTAGGGTATGATGTGCTCACGAGAACCGGTTCGAGCCAGCAACGAGGCCAGGAGGGGGAAGGTAGGACAAGAAAAACCGCAAAGAACTCCGAACAAGTGATCTGCTGGCCACAAGCAAGATACGGTACACTGGCCCTTGCGGGTAAGTAAAGCGCCATAGCGGCAGGAACATGACGACGGAGAGGCAGATGAGGGTATGATGCTGCACCGGTATCAAGCGAAAGGGCGGGGTGAACATGGGGTGCTGGGTAGTTATCACATTTCTCGGAGGACAAGTCAAGTTTCGTTCGGAGGTTGAAGATGGAATAAAATGACCAAACTTCTACTTCTCCCCCACACCCCGAACACGGCACTTGCGTATAACAACTCATCCAGGGGAATCCATCGGTACTGGGCAGTGCCGTTATGAGACTACCACACGATTATCATCCGTTATGGTGGTTTTCGGCGCTGTGAGGTTGCATGGGTTAGGGAACCGCCAGCCAACCCGTCTCCATGGTATGGACAATGGCTTGTCTCACCTGTTCCTTCTTGCTCCTTTGTGTCCATTTTCCATTTTTTTCCTTTTTTCGTATTTCCTTTTACCTCTTCTCTGCAGTACTAGTACTAGTACGAGTACAAGCACCTTGTAACGTTTAAGCTTAAGCCTAAGTTGGGCCGCGGTATAAGGCCCGCTCTGTCCTCCTCTACCGGTATCCTGTTTTTGAATGGTTGAAAAAGCTCATCAACGCGCCCCTCGCGTCAAGCCCACTCCCCCTCCTACACCTGACCACTATAATCCTGCCACCGCTACAGTATCTGCTCCCTGTTCCGCTCCGACAGAAAACAGCTCCAGTGAAGCTCGACCATCACCACTACCGCCCTCGCCACTAAGCCTAGCACACGCCGTTTCCTCCTCGTCAACCTACAGACCTCCGTCCCCTATAGACGACAAGAAAAGCAAGCCCTCGCTACCACAAACCCTCACAGAGTTCCTCCCTTCCGGCCGGAAGTCCCTCGCCATGATTGGTGCTGTCGTGTTACTGCTATCCCTCCTCTTCCTGGCAGGAGAATCGGGGGCCAACCGACAAGAGGCACTCTACCACTCCCAGCAGCAGCAATCCCCATCCCACCGTCGCCAGGCATGTCCGGATTACCGAGACTACGCAACCCGCCTGCACCCGCCGTACAGCAGGGGGAAGTACCGGTTGCCATTCCAGCGACCAGTGGAGGGGTGCAGACTCTACAGTTCCCCGGCCGTGGAATCACTGATCGGCGAGATGAATGCGAGGATCAAGGATAAGGACCTGGCTAGGCTTTTCGAGAATTGCTTCCCGAACACCCTGGACACCACGGTTAGGTGGCATTTGAACGCCGATAAGGTTGCCGATAAGCAGAGTTTTATCGTGACGGGGGATATCAATGCTCAGTGGTTGAGGGATAGTACAAATCAGTTGGCGCAGTATCAGTTGCTCGCCAGGGATGATGAGGCTTTGAGGAATTTGATCCTGGGGGCTATCAATACGCAGGTATTTTGTGCCCCCCGAGGGGAATTGCTTGTTTGGAAAACTGAGGGCTGACTTTTGCCCCGATATGATAGGCGGATTTCGTGCTAAAGTCTCCTTATTGCAATGCTTTTCAACCTCCAAAGGCTAGTGGACTTGCACCGTGAGTGGGTCTTTGGTAGCAGGTGGTCGGATAGAGTGCTGATGGGCGCGCTAGAACTTCCAATGGCCAGGACGATACTGTTCATCCGGTTTACGATAACACTGCGGTGTTTGAATGCAAATACGAGATTGACTCACTCGCTTCCTTCCTTTCTCTCGCAAATCAATACTACAATCATACTGGCGACCTCTCTTTCGTGGGGGAGAAATGGCTATCGGCGGTGGATAACGTCATGGAATTGATTGAGCAAGAGCAGGTCTCTTCTTTCAGCAACAGTGGCTCGGTACAAAATCATGTCTATACCTTCCAGAGGAAGACCACCCTTGGAACAGAGACTCTGAACCTGGCCGGTGCCGGCAACCCCATTAACCATAACACTAGCCTGGTCAGGTCTGCTTTCAGGCCCAGCGACGATGCCGCAATTATGCAATTCTTCATTCCTGGAAATGCTATGTTGGCCGTGGAGCTCAAGCGAACCGCCGAGATCCTGAGGAAGGTCAGGCAAACAAAGCTAGCAAAATTCGTTCAAAAGAAGGGTGAAGAGATTGAAGCCGGCGTCTGGAAGCACGGTGTCGTTACACACCCGGTTTTCGGAAAAGTCTTTGCGTATGAAGTCGACGGGTATGGCTCGCACATAATCATGGATGACGCAAACCTTCCGTCCCTACTAGCATTGCCAGTGCTTGGTTTCGTCGACGTCAAGAACCAAACGTACCAGAACACCCGAAAGATGGTTCTGTCCCGGGAGGGCAATCCTTACTTTTTGACCGGGGCCGAGTTTAAGGGTATTGGAGGTCCCCATATTGGCATCACACATGCCTGGCCGATCAGTTTGCTGATCGAAATTTTGACGACTGACGATGATGATGAAATCCTGGCTCTTCTTGGGATGGTGTTGAAGGCATCGCCACTCGGGCTCGTGCACGAGAGCGTTAATGTCCAGAGGGTGAAGGATTATACAAGTTTGTTGCTCCCATGCTACAACCTAATTGCGGCAGAACTGACACGTGACGATACAGGAAGCTGGTTTGCTTGGGCGAACTCGCTCTTTGCACAGACGATACTTGACCTAGCTCGCCGTAAGCCCCAGGTATTATTCTCCGTGAATGGAGGGAGATGAGGAGTAATGAGACATGACAAGCTATACATATTCATAGACTAAAGGCACGATGAATGAAGGAATAGTGTAGGGCTCTCAGATATGGGGGTTATGTTTTGTATATATGGCGTTCTATTATTCTTTGTACAATTTACGATATCGCAAGCTTCAGGAAGAGCAACCCGTAGGAATATCCCACTATGATAGCACCGACCCAAGATGCTGGTCTCGGCCCCAAAAACCCGGGACCCCCCCCCGCGCCAAGGATTGAACCCTGAGAGTTCCTGGGCCTTTTTTCTACGCCCCACCCGTCCCTTTCCTCTCTAGCTATCGGTGCCCTAACGCGCTTAACCAACCAACCAAGCAAGAAACCCCATAAAGTCCTCCATCTCCCCCCCCCTTACCTACCTCTCCCATCAAGAAAGCACCATAAAAAATCTCGATTGCAACTCCAAAAATGTCCACAGCTGCCTCCCAACTCCCACCCTTGACCAAGCGCCCTATACCGCATACCATCTGCCTTTTTGACGTTGATGGAACGCTTACTCCAGCTAGAGGGGTGAGTTGAGCTATGACCTTGTTTTTCCCCGCACTTTTGTTTCGAAACGAAACGAAAAAAATCTCGACTTCAAAGGTCAAGGTGAAGATTGCCAATAATGATAATGGGATGTGCAGGCCGTGAGTCCAGAAATGCTAGCCCTCCTACAAAAGCTTAGGACAATGGTAGCTACCGGGTACGTTGGCGGAAGTGACCTTGCGAAGCAGCAGGAGCAGTTGGGTGTGAATGGATCGAATGGTATTTTCTCCACCCTGCGTCCTCCTTTTATTATGAGCCGGTAATTGATTGATGGATGGATGGATGGGCAATGCAGTTATCGACATGTTCGACTACTGCTTCGCCGAGAACGGCCTCACCGCGTACAAACTCGGAGAAGCCCTGCCCAGTACTAGCTTCATCAACTGGCTGGGTGAGGAGAAGTATAAGAAGATGGCGAACTTTATCCTGCACTACATTGCGGATTTGGACATACCGCTCAAGCGGTTAGCTTCGCACCTTCCCCTTCGAGTAATGAGCTGGGTCAGGTGGCTAACATGTTTTGTTGTAGCGGAACATTCATTGAATTCCGTAATGGGATGATCAACGTTTCCCCCATTGGGCGTAATGCTTCGTACATCCCCTCCTCCTCCTCACATTCTGGGGCGCTTTCTGATGAACGGGAAAACAGAACCCAAGAACGCCACGACTTTGAGGCCTACGACAAAATCCACAACGTTCGCCGAGACTTTGTCGAGGCCCTTAGGAAGAACTTTACGAATTATGGACTGACATACAGCATTGGTGGGCAAATCTCTTTCGACGTGTTCCCTACCGGGTGGGATAAGACCTATTGCCTCCAGCATATTGAGAAGGAGGGCGTGTTTTCGCATGTTCACTTTTTTGGGGACAAGACCTACAAAGGTACGCCTCTCTTCCCCGATTGTGTAGCGGTGGCGGTGGCAGTGGTGGATAGGAGCTGACGCGTTGATAAAGGGGGGAATGACTATGAGATTTATGAGGATCCAAGAACCATTGGTCATTCGGTCACGAACCCGGAGGATACTATGAAGATATTGAGGGAGCTGTTCAAGTTGTAAATTTCTTTTCCTCCTCACGAGATGTAACGGGGGGCCGAAAAATAGTCCATACCCCATCCCTTTCGAAGTTCAGAGCAGACCAAAGAGGAACAAATGGGGGGGGCGATGGTGAGTATCTTAAATCATTACTGTAGCTATAATACGTAGCATACGTAGCAAGATATAAGCATAATGCAAAACTTCACATGGTAAACCCATGGCTCTTACTCCCGCTATATCCAACTGAAACCCACACTCCCGCCGTTATCCTGGTACCGTACCCCCGGCGCAAGCACAAAATGCATGCGGCCGGGGCCATTGGTGGCATTCGGCGGATCAGAGGCTTCAACTTCCTCCCGCGAGTGGCGCCGCATACCGACATCATACCTCACGCACGGCACCGTACCCACACACAAGGACACTGGAGAAATGCCGTGCCGCCAAGCGCACGCAAGAGCGGGCCCACCCGAGGCTTGGACACCGGTACAGTATGAGTACAGCGGAGTACCTGCATTTCACCGTTACTCGCCCACGGAGCACCGTCCCGTAACAGCATAATAACGAATCATGTTCACAGAGCAGATTAGGTAAGGTAAACCACTCCGCTCAATTACCCCCAGTGCCGTGGGAGCATCACCCGAGTATACAATACCGTACCGCCATGATACAGGTATGCGTCACCAATCCGTGCCCGGACCATCATAAGGCAGGGTCCCATAATACAAGCACGGGTAATTTACACTACCGTACCCTGCTAATCAAGCTTCAACTTAGGTTCAAGTCCCCAACAGGAATTCCAAGAGCGCAACTGCAAAAGCGTGATGTGAGCAATTCCCCTCCTCCACTTGATATTACATTTTTGTATTTGTTTCCCTGTTTGTCTCTTTAAACCAATGAAGGGGAAATTGTGCTAGAGCTCGATATCCATTATTCCGGTATCAGCGAGACGCTATTCCGGGGATAATGCGGCGGTTTTGGCTTGCTCCGTTGGTCCCATTGCGGGTTTAGTCACGGCAGGTAATCCCCAGCTTTCCCCCGCTAGTAGTGCGGTGCTAATACGTGAGGTAGTCACAGTTAGAGATCGCGATCCTCAGTATGATATCTGCCCCTCCTTTCTCCTAAAAGTTTGGCGAGTGACATTTGATGAAAGAGACTAGAACTATGATACCTCAAAAAAAAAAACTTGGAAGAGCCGTGAGGTTACCGTCGAAGGCTGACCCGAAAAATAACGACAGCGCGAAATTGCACAAATTACCGGATAGAACGGAGTCGAAGACAAGCAGCGACAGAAGAGTAGAATTGTATCTGGCGATGCGCTGCATGAGTTTCTTATAATTCTTGCGCAATCACTCTCCATTAGATCTACAGTACTGAGGGGGGGTGTTCCCGATCGATCGAAGCTCTTTACGAAAAAGCGCGAACCCAAGGGATAGATGGAGGGGAAGGAGCAAGTTGCAGGATTCCGAATTCCCCTTTCAGACCCGTGTTTGGGTATTATCTTCAAGACGGCGGTCGCACTATCATACAAAACATGAGGAGGGGGTGAGAACAGCGCACGCTGGGACGACGACCTTTTTCGATCAACCAATTGAAGGAGTGGGAAGCGGTAATGATATCAGAAGAAAGAAAGAAAGAAATGCCACCCTCTCTACTGGAGGAAAATAAACTTTGATATGGTAACAAAATCCGCGGACAAGCCGAATACATGCGCATTCCGACGGGTATATGCAAACACTACCCAGCGCTAAATCTGCCTTCTATCTAATAGGCCGTTTAGCTATGTCATGGGTTGTCACTCGAGTTATTTATCCACACCTTCCTACCCACCTACCTCTCATACTTTGTTGAAGGTGTGAATGGAACGTGAGGAGCACAGACGGTGATATTATGTACTAGCTTCTTTGGATGTTGAGCTAGGTTATTACGAGTTGCGGATGAGATACCAAACGTAGCCAAGCGGGGAATCCATTACTGTAACAAACTCGCCCGCTGAATTGAGCAGCGGGCAGAAGAGCATGCAGTAGATATACCCATTAACAAGCCCCCGTCGACCACTAACATGGCATAAAGGAGTAATCATACTATAGAACTAATAACTCGTGTGGTATCATAGAGGGAGGGATCGCGCCCATCCACCAACAACACCAAAAACCCTTAGAAAAAAAAAAATTTGGATGGCGGGCTCCTGCGATTATAATACCGGTAATCACGTTGAATGGTCCGCCGTCCCTCCTCTTAGTCTGTGCCGGTAATCGCCACCATGAGCAGAGATTGATCACAGTGGATCGTCGAGAATCTTTCCCTGAAGAATACATTCTTTTCGCCACGATACCTGTATTCCGCTTTCTCAACCCCCCCCCCCCTGCCCTGACTTCATCTCCGACTCTTCATGATATGATACCTAGTCCACCGGTAGAAATCATGCATAACACATGCACTCGTAAATAAGCATCACAACAAGCCCACTATCGACCGTCCGAGCCACCTCCGTGAGCCCGCTTCACGGGACAAGGCACCTCCCAACCAGTCGTAGAAGCAAATCATACATGCACCACCCCAAAACCTCTCCTTCCACAACCGCTCACTCGCTCCTCCCCCCTTAAGCCGTACCCAGATCCAATAAACAAAAACCAATGAAAACCAAACCAATCAATCAATCACCCCGCCAAGCCAAACCCCCTCGAAGAAAGAAGAAAAGAAGCAAAATTTAATTTTTTTTTTTCATCAATTCCACGATTAGCGCGTGCATTTGTACTCGTATCGTACCGGTATCGTAACAGGTAAAGAGAGCCCGAAAAAATCAAGCAGGGGTGGAGGAGAAATTTTGCATGATATGGGGGGATTTAGATTAATTTACGCACGGGGTTTTTTTTTCTTCCTTTCAATCCTTGTTTTTCGGGTACGGTAGGGTATTGCTCGTATGATACTTGTTGCCTGTTATGGGTGGAGAGCGCAAGAGTACGAGTACTGTAGCCTCACCCCACCACTTGTAGGAGGAGTGACCCGGATGGCCAGATTTTGGGAAAATGACATTCTGGTAGCGTGGGGGGATCTGGACAGACCCCTAATCCACCATTAAACACTGTACGAGTACTAGTACTCTACTCATACATTTTTGTCAACGTTTTCGGGTCATATTCAGTGGGCGGATACCGTACCGTACTCGTACTGCAGATGCAGCACACTTCTGCAGTAAAAATCTGTCTTCCGCTCATCGCTACCGTAAATAAAAGAAACCCCCTGCGATTGGATTATGCTCACCCCCCGGCAAAACGTCCAATCTCCGGAATTCGGGGTCGGCGGATGGATCTCCCACCCGAACGGGCTGCCGTACCGTATACTATACAAAGTAACGTGAGCGCCCAGACGCGTTGGATCGGGTCTCACCAACGGTATTCGCAATTGTGTTGGATGTGATAATAATACAAGCATAATAGGTGTGATATGGCCGTGAAGTGGTTTCTGATGATGATCTGGTGTTGAATTGCGATCAGGTTCTGTCAGGGTGGTGGTGGGAATTGAACTTTTTTCCCACCGATGGGGTTTTGGATCAATTGTAGGTGATATGATAACTTACTCGAGTAATGTCTGACTTAGTATGATGTCGGATGGGTTTTCCATTCGCTTTCCTACAGTATTTTGGTAATCTTGTGAGGTTTACTCTTTGGGTTTAGTTCCTTCACACAGTACTGGTACTTGTAGTTGTAGTTGCCTAGACTACGGTATTTACTTGGACGCGGTTCAGCGGGCTAACTTAGACTACCATAACCTCAAAACTCATGGTTATATAAGGGAACAGGGATGAGGTCCACTCGTTATCTCGGGCTAAGGATCGCCACCCATCGTTCGTTCGCGCCTTCCTTTCCGCATACCGGTAGTATCATACGCACGCGCCTTCAAGTATGATAATTTATGATACCCTTATCGTATCGTATCTGCAGCCACTCGAGCTCAGCTAGAGAACACATCAACCACAACCACATCTTGAAAGAGCCCCTGCCTACCGTAGTCTACCCTTCCCGATCTTCATTCATCAAGGAGGGATACCGAACCGTACCCACCGATCCGGCAAAAAAAAAAAAAAAAAAAAGGAAAAAACTTAGAAGAGTTGTCTCCGCCAAGTTCGCCACTGCATTATGTAATCCACGATAATAAGATACCGTTGCCCATTTCCACCATGATATAAGTTAATAGCTACGATAACCGGTTCAGTCTACCCACCAAGCCAGTACGATACGGTACGATAGATATAACGCAAAACCCAACCAGTTGGCGCTCCACGGCGGCAGTCAGTCACGAGAAACGAATTCCTATTTCCGTTCCGCTGTAAGCGCTCGCTTATCATAACATCCCAGCAGACTCGAATACATAGTTAGAACTCATAGCATCGTGTAGTATCATATCATGCAGCAGGCAAAGTGCACAACGATAGACCCATCCATCATCCCACGAACGGAACGGGATCACGCCCCGGTATTGGCAGTACCGGTATATCATAGGGTGGATTAGATTAGATAGATATGGATGGATATACAACGTAACACCCAGCTGAAGATTTCTTTCTTTCTTTTCTTTTTATCATCCTACTCCTCCCCCTCCAAAACAACAACAATCCAAAGTAAACAAATAGTCCGGATCATTCGTTTATTCCGTTCATTCGCACGGAGTGCACGCGCCGACACGATACAGTGAAGCACGATACGATACGGCACTGTACCCAGCGCAGCGCAAAAGTGTGACGGTTATTCGCTACCGCACTTGGACTACCGTATCTTGGGCGGGGGATGGATAGCACAACACCCCTATCATACCATACAGCACGAGCACCGGTTACCAGAGCGTGAATACGGACGGTATGCAGTCACAGGTTGTTATCATCCTACCCATCATAACTCGTACGATAGTCGATCGTGCTCGGCACTTGAAAAGGTAGTAAAAAAAAAATTATTGTGTACTGTACGAGTACACTACGAGTGCACCACCATCACTCGTATGATATGGTAATTTACCTACGGTGCTACGGTACGAGTACAGTACCGTGCCGAGGCAGTATGATACGATACGATATCATACCGCAGAGTGCCACACGTGCAGTCCGGGTTCGCTCATATATATTACTCGTATATATATACTTGTACACTGTATATATTATGCCTTGCCCTACCGTACCTTACCTTCCCAATCCAACCCGCGAAACACAACATATGATGCGCTGCGCTGCGGTACGGTACGGTACGGCACGATGACAAGTATGATACCGTAAAGCACGAGCACAATGCTGGAAAGTGCAGGGCTGTTGCTGTGCGGTACTGTATCGTACCGCCCCACAGCGATACTGGTATCATGCAGTATGATAAAAACCCTTGAATGTGAATCCCGAGTGACACTCCGTGCCTCCAATCTCCGTGGGAAAGAAAAAAGGGAAAAAAGGAAAAAAACAAGAAAACAAAAACAAATATCATACTCGAGAGAGAAGAAAATAATAAAACAACAATAATACTTGTAATAATAATAATAATAATAATAATAATAATAATAATAATAATAATAGTAATAGTAATAATAATGATAATAAAAGGGGACCCACAACCATGGTTTCTCCACCTCTCACATACTTGAACGCCCTCTGCGTGATGTGAAACACAATTGCCCAACAAATCCATACTGTACCGTACTCAAACACTACACCTGCCGTACTCGAGAATTTCAAAGGTATCCGGGATCTGCGCTTGCTGGTCCTTGGCATTGAGGTGTCCGGGCACTTGTGAAATCCGCGAGTATTTTCATTCAACACCTTCATATCTGCTGCGGAGGCTGCCGGTCGGGCACGTGCTGGCCCAATCCGGTGGTTACTACCGTGCCTGCGGAACCCTTTTTTTTTCCCCCTTCGCTCCTTTTTATGTGTCTGTTGTTCCCGCGGGGAAGGCGGTGGTACTCGAGCCTGGTGTTTTGGGTATTCCCCAAGCCTTGCGGCGGCGGCGGCGGCGGCGGTTGGGGCACGATGCTGATATCGTCATAATATTGTGGTTTATGGTGTCTCGAGGAGAGTGGATCGTGGGTGGGCTGGGATAAGTATTCCGGGTCAGCTAGTGGCGGGATGTCGTGATTCTTTTGTCTTTGAGTCAGGCAAGGGTAGGGAGGGTGCCGTAGCATACTATCGATTGGGAAGTGTTGCCGGGAGTTACGATTCTATGAGTGAATGGATGGATGAATTATAAATATGGAAGGCCTCTTTTCTCCCGGCGCCTTTATTATCACATTCATGGGGATCATTCATGAATGGTATATGGTGAGACACCCATACTTTGCCCTTGGAAAGGGTCAATCATCTTCACGCGCAGCACGTACTCTAGATACCGATATTCGACACGAGCAATTGATAACTGGGATACCCGGTCCATCATTATTTGGGTGAATGATTGTCATTACTTCCGGCCTCAATGTGTAAGCTTCGCATCCAACACAATGAGCCATAGCACCGGATATGTTTTTTCGTGGCGCCATAAGTATGCAGTATTCAAACTGCCGTCCCTCAATCCATGTTCGGGGCCAAGGTGACAAGGCTGAAATCGAGCCTTCCACTCTCCTTCTCCCTATCAATGAAAATCTGGACGACATTCACCGCCCGCTCACTCAAGACATCATCATCCCCGAGATCCCCGCGATCCAGGGGTCCCTTCCTCTGACCGTCGAGCTCGTAGAGGTGGTTATCCTTCGCTTTGACAAAGCACACGTAGTGCAGGTCCACGTCGGCCTCAGCATCTGGAACCGCAGAAGCTCCCCGGGTCGCCGCAGACTTGTGTGCTGATGCGAGTTCTTGGGAGTCCTCGAGAGCTTTGGCACGCTCGAGAGGGGGGAGGGGCAGGGCTTTTGAAAGCAGCTCTTGGAGTGAAGAACCATCGCCTATAATTCGTTTTTCCGAACGATCGCAAACGTGTTAGAAACGGATTGACATTTCCGATAGGGTACTCTGTGCATCTTCCTCATGTTTGCCCTGCTCTTTCACCCGTCCTCTTCTCACTTGATTTGTTTCGATGTTTTCTTTTTCTCCATTTCTTCCTGTATCGAGGGATGATGAGATGGCGGTGTACCCGGAAATACGTACCAATCATGTCCCTGCTCCCCCCATTACAAACCGCATGCAAGACACCAATCATCCCACAAGCGTTCTTGATAGTCTGTTTGAACCACACCGGATCTTCTCCATCACCCCGCTTGGAATACTCTTCCTTGCCCGCATCTTCCGCGATACGGTGCCGCTGGTAGCTCTCGGAAACCGGGAAAACGAGCAGAAGAGCAAGGGCGGGCCTCGGGACGAATGCTAGAAGATCGGGATCGGAAATGGAGAAGACATCATGAAAAGCTAGGCTCTTGGACAACCCTAGTTTGTGCACCAGGGCGGTCATCACTTCGGGATTGCATCTGCATAGACCGATACGTCAGCTCGGTTAGCGTAAACACAGATGGAGAGGGACGAATGGGGTGGTGCCGGCAACAGTAGCGTATAGAATCAAGAATATATTTTCATGCCGTGGTTGAAATGTTTTGGGCGGGTGGGCAGAACATACTCGAGGGGGATAAAAGCTTTGCGAGCTCTAGGGACGTCCACGGATGCAGACGGGGCATTTGGGGTTTCGCCTGCTCCCCCTTCCGGTGGATGGACTGGCTCTGACATGGCGGTATGTAGGGGATCAGGAGTTGCGTCTTTTGGCGTTTTGAATTCGGTGCCGTCACCCTATCTTGACGTATGGTGAGCGAGGTGCCCCGGGTAGAGTATCTAGAGTGGTGTATGATACTTGTATACGTGTGACCGGGGGAGACGTGTTTTCCGCAGCCGGTGGGCTGGCTGGCGTTGAGAGAGGGGGCTACCGTGGGGATGGGGAAGGGCGTGCTGAATGCTAGGTTCGAGCTGAAAGTGGGTTCCCGGGTACGCTCCTGTGGACGAGGCGAGTATCAGGTTTATGGCTCAAAGGTCACGATTCGGCGGACGGGCTCGCTGGGGCTGGTCAGGTTGTTGAGGTGTTTAGGTAAGCCGTGATATCGATACCGGCATTGGTGGGTTTAATGGGGAGATTCGGAATGAGGGGTTGGGTTGCACGGGTGCTCGAGCATTGCGTATGAGGCTGAAAAGGAAGGTCCGAAGAGCCCTAACCGGTTTTTTTTTTAGGTTATTTGTCATTATTATCTCTCAACGGACAAGGGAGTAAGGCGACGGCGGCTTGGGCGCCCCTCACTTTCGTTGCCAGGTTACCCCGACGGCGCACGGTTCACCCTGGGGCATCGGCAAGCCTCTGGCGAGAAAAAGGAAAAAGCCTTCTGCCCAACTGGTCGTCGCAGTCCCTTGGAGACGACGACGGACGAGATGAAAAGGAACGCGACAGACAGCAATCGACGAACGAGAGGACGCAGGGCCCACACCCTCGGGCCATAGGCACAGATACGGCACTCACTTCCAGCAACGGGAAGTATCCTATGTTGCCAGCATTTACCCTCTCCACTTGTATCTCTCCTCCCGCCCTACCGTACTCGTACAGGTAGGTATCATGTCACGAGATCAGTCGGCCTCCCGCCCATTTCCCCATGATACCCTGTACTCGCACCCTACGCACTTTCCCCCCCTCTCTTTTCCGCCTCTACGCAAACATCATAATGACATTGTACGAGTACTAGCACAACACGATTCTATTCCCCTATTGGGACTTCCCATCCTCCGTTTCGCCCAGCGTTTTGCCCCGGAATTTGCAGGGGCGCTTCGACGATTGGGAGTTTAATTCAACAACCTCGATTGCGTCACCCAACCGATTGGGCTACCGCATTTGTGTGATACGGTACAAGTAGCTGCGGTCTGCACTCCACTCGCCCACCCGCTCTGTGGGCTTGGAGTGCTGAAGGGAACGCCGGATGGGGTGGCTTGTGGTCGCCAATCGGGGTGAGCGCAAGCGAGAGGATGCCGGGCGAAACGAAAATCGCCACCAATCCTAAAAGCGTTCGCTCCACACCGTATTCCCCTGGGGAGGGAAAAAAATCACCGCCTGTGTGATCCGCAAATCACAAAATATGAAAGGAGGAAAAAAAAAAAGAGAGAGAGAGAAAAAAGAAAAAGGTGAAAACCTGAAAAAAATGACAGGACACGACCCTTTTGGGCTAAGCGTCTGCTGGGCCCGCTTGGTCGAACCCAACACGGTCAGCTGCGAGGATCCCCAGCGACGTTGCTTGAGTTTTCCAACAGATTGGGTCCTCGGGAGCGATGGGGGCAAGGATCGGCGGAGGGGAACAGCTCATCACAGTGGATCTCAAGACAACCACTTGACCGCTAAGACTTGAACCTTTACTCGAGTATTCTTATGGTCCTATGAGCCCTGTCCGCTGGACCTTTTGTGTGTGTGGTGTGTTTCCTTTTTTGAACCTCTCGCTCGTTCTGTTTCGTTTTTCCTTTTTTCCTTTTCCTGCGCGATCCTCGGCCAGGGTTGGATTGTGGGAAACTGGGACGGTCTGCCGCGCACCCCCACCCTGTCCCCACGCAAGCTGTTGGCTGGTATTCCTGACTGAAAGCCGGAGAGAAGGGAAGCGAAAAGGCCAGCGCAGCCGTGTTCACACCGCGCTTTTCCGGGGCGAGCCCAGGGCGGCCTCACTTGCCTATGGGTGCACACACAATTGTGATTCCCTCAATCGAGCGGCGCAGCGGTTTGGGGCAGGGCCTTGCTCCCCCCGGCTCGCTCGTGATAGGCCGTGGGAATGGTGATAATGACAGAAAGACGAAAAACATCGCGAAAATAATATTCCGGTCGGCAAGTGACCGCGATGGTAATGAATTACCTACCGGTGCCCATGAGCCGTGGTCCATTGGTCGTAGCGATTGGTTTGCAGAATTGTGGACAAATACTCGAGTAAACTTGTTCTCGGTTGGAATGTTGGGGTGGTGATTTATTGTTTGATTGATGGACAGGCCTTGATCGATGAATCAATGAATCAACCAGGGCAATCAGTCAATCAAACCATCTGTTGGCAGACGGAGAGGACAGGTCTGGCGTGGCGGAGGGACCCAGTCAGATGGGTCTCGTTTGGCATCGGAGGGAGGGAGGGGACAGGTCTCACACGGACTCCCTGAAATCTAGCATGGTCTGGGCTCAGCGAACCGGCAGCCGTGGGGAAGGGAAATGCTTCTGATCTCAAGAACGATCTTGCTTTGGTTAGTAATTTTTTAGTCTTTTTTTCTTCTTTCTCTCTGGGTAGGGATGAAGAGGCTTTTAAGTGATTATAGGATAAGGATTGGGGAAGATATGGTTGAGCTGGGCAGTGAACAGCAGCAGCAGCAACTGGGGGGGGGGTCGACTGCGCTGCTCATTTACTGGTACAGTACAGTACCGGTATGTCCTGTAGAACGCGGTGAGCATCTTCAGACGAGGTGATGGTGTTGCTGCTCCCTCCTGCAGCAACCGCTGGCTTGACATTTCATCTATTTTTTATTTTTATTTGCTTGCCTTCCCTTTTTTTTTTACCCATTGCACTCCGGGAGAAACTGGTATGCACTCGGGGGGTGCTTTGGGAAGGCTGAGAGAAGTATCGTACACTCGAAGGGGGGGGGGGGGTAAGTTGGCAAATGGATGATCAAGGCAGTACCATTGTTTAACTGTCCACCCCGTATCGTACTCGTAGGGATTGTATCAGAGCCCACACTAAAAAAAAAAGAACGGGAGTTGATCGTCGGGGCGGGTGGCCTGAGCCGGCCGTAACTTAACCTGTGCACGACGCTTTGTTTCTGTTTCTCTTGATTTCTCTCTCTCCCTCCGTCAATTCACTCTTTGTTCAGTTTATTATTGGGGGTTTTATTTTTTTGACTTGTACTTGAATCTCATTCGATGGTCCATCATCGTTAACTTAATCGTTCTTCCTGCTTTGGTCCTTTGGTTGGCGCTGGGCCCGACTGGCGCTCCCGTCCCAGTCTTGCCGTCAATCCTTTGCTTCACTCGCCCACTCACTCGCTCGCTCCTCCCTTCTAACCATTTTTTTTATCCCTTGTACCCCTCCCCCCTCTCCCATCCCTCGCTACCTATTTTCCCTACCTTACGCCCTGCTGGCTACTCCGGTAGTCGAGGACTACTGCTGCTGCCCTTCACCGCTGCTGTTGCCTGGCCTTCCGCCAGCTCTTCAACTGCTACCCCCCCCCCCACCACCGCACAATCAATACCTTGACCACTACTACCACTACTACCACTACTACTACTATCGTACCATTACTACTTACTACTACCACCACCTCACCACCTCCTCCGCCACCGCTACCACACCTACTTATCGTCACTCCCCCCCTCCTTCACTCCTCTTTCTTTATTCACGATAGTGGTACTTTCTCGCACCTAGAAGCTGGAATTCTTTCCACTTTGTTTCAATTAAAGAAATCATTTAATAAATTTTTTTCCCTTACTATCCTACCACGTTCCCTGGATTTGAGCCTCCTTGACGACTGGGGAACCCTAGTTATTCCCGGGCTGCTGCAGCCCTTCGGCTTTCCTTCAAGTCGAGCGTGATGGCAGTAGCGAGGCTTCGGTAACGCACAGCCCAGCCAGCCGATCAGAGGAAAAAAGAAAGAGAGAGAGAGAGAGAGACTCTACAACATAAACCCCAGGGGGTACCAATCTGTTTACCCCGTGCCACCGTGCACCTCTTTTCACTTCTTGTGGAGAGAACGGGTTCCCTGTCGGTCGCGACTTTGGGGATCATTCTTAACCCCGGTCTCTACTTCCCCCATTGAATTGGGTCAGCTTACGGCATTGTACCCTGCTATCCAATACTCCTGGGGGCTTTTCTGTCTGCGACGATGTCGAGTTGGTTAGCAGAAATGGATTTGGGGAAGAGGGCGGAGGGTTCTGGTTGGGATTATTGGGTTGACGACCCAGTATATGGCCTGAGTCGACTAGCGAATCGAAAGATAGGCGATCCTAAGGATCAGTCGTTACTGACAGGACAGGAATTATACATTCTCCGCACAATAGCACTTGCCGCAGCTACAATATCTCTCTCGACGGGAGTGGTGGTGGGATGGTGGTTTGTGCGTATGAAGCGAAGTTTTAGACATCAGTAGGCGCCTCACCCGGACCCGCTTTGTTCTCTGCTTGTGTTACTACGACACTGGGAAACCTTGGGGATGGTGCTGACGATTGGCTTACAGTCTTATCATGTTGTTGATCTTTTCGGATTTTTTCAAGGCGAGTTGGCAGTTGATATACCCAGCGGTAGTGTTTACAAGAGGAGCGGTTGCGAGCGAATCCAAGTTTTGTCAGGCTGCCGGATTTTTCATGTCGATGGGAATAGAAGCTTCGGGTATGTCATTCTGGGATGGCAGTTGTGGTTCATCAACTTTTCCTTTCTCTTCTAAAAAAAATAAGGAAGGATCTGAGTCTGATATTTCATTAGATTTCGCGGTTCTGGTTATAGCGGTTCATAGTGCGCTCTATATTTTTCGGCCAGGGCTCACAGCCGTTGGCGAAGGAGGACTATTTCGTTACCGTCATTCGGTATACGTTGCTTGGTTGGCATTTTCGATATTAATGCCGTCACTCGCATACATTAATTCTGCTCCAGCATACAGTGCCCAAGGCACATTTTGTTACCTACCGGTACGCCCTGTGTGGTACCGCATGGCGTTGGCGTGGGTTCCCCGATACATCATCCTCGTGACCATCCTTATCCTCTACGCATCGATATATATTTACGTCCGCATGAAGTTTCGAACGTTTCGGAGTCATGTTGGAGCCAGCACGCTAGAAATGGACACGGTTGATTTGGCAGTCCCAGAGCCGCCAAAGGATGAGGGGGGTCTCCCGGAATTGGACGACCACGGATTAATACCAACATCGCCTGCCTCGGATAGTCGGCAGGCATCAAACGCATCGGACCAGCCATTTGCAAAGTTGATGGTGCCCCAGACCATTGGCGAGAAACTCAATTTCCCGCCAGCATGTTCGTCGGAGCCTCGGCCGTGGGCATATGATGGGGCCTCATCGCCGTCAAGGAGGGGCTCCTTACCGGCATCGATAGCAAACCCGGAGGGAGGGACCGGTTCATCCAGTGAGATTTCACATGGTAACAAGGTGAGGGGAGGGACGGCTGACGGAGCATCCGCAGAATTGAGGAGGAGACGGATAGCAATCAGTAGGCAGTTACGCCTACTGTTCATATACCCACTAGTCTACGCACTTATGTGGGTCCCATCCCTCGTCAGTAACCTATTACAGTACCGAGATCAATTCGTCCGGGATCCGAACTTCCCGCTAGCTTGCATGGTGGCCTTCACGATACCTATCCAGTGCGCTGTGGATTGTTGGTTGTTCACCATACGGGAGAAGCCATGGAGGTACATTCCCGAGTCGAACGGCAAGTCATTCTGGTCACGGTACGGATTCATCAAGGGGGAAGGGTGTAGTAGTGCTGGTGGAAAGGATGGAGAGGTCGGGTGGAGAAAGAGGAAGAACATGAGTTTTGAGGCGAGAAAGGCGTACGAGCGAAGGGAGGAGGAGAGGAAGGAGGCAGCGGAGTTGTGGCTACAGCGGCAGGATGAGAAAGGAAGATTGAGTTCTGGTTCTGCACCTTTGGTACCCGCTGAACCAAAGAAAGCGTACAGGAGTTGGTGGGACGGCTTTTCAGATGGCCTGGATGAGATCGTGGAGGAGGCCAAGAACAGGCGGGCCTCACAAAGTCACCTGGGACACGCTGATGACCTGAGTAATCTGGAAGCCGGGATAGGAGGAGAGGGGAGCAGACAAGATAGCCATCTCGCCCCCACTACTACAGCATAACACGACTCTCGCCCATCGTCACCGTTATTAAACCTCACTAAGCTTCTGTGTCCCATATTACCTTTTTTTTCTTTTTTCTTTCTCTTATAACTATTACTATCCGGACGGCCTTGGAATGTGAATATTTTCCTTTTTTTTCCTTCTCTCATCGGTATTATATCTTACGGCTTATGAACATGGGATCCACAGTTCTCTTTTTCTTTTCCAGTTTACTTCCTCACCCTCCAAAAGTCACCTTACACCCGACTATATCTCATAATCCCATCCACCATCACCATCACAATATTTCCTTATTTCGGCGGGGGCAGTGATTTTTACTTTTTCTTCTTTCCTTTTTGAATTATCTGTAGCATTGGGCATTGGTATAAAAAGGCGATCGGCATTTCTTGGGTCTATCTCTTTTTCTCTCCTTTAATTTCCTTATTTCCATTCTTGCATAGCCTCTATTTTTTTATTTTTATTCTCTTCAAATTTTTTTCGTTCCGGGAAAAACCTGTACAAATGAATAATATAGGGGGCAACGGCAGCAGCATCAGCAACGGAAAACTGGACCCTTTTCTTACTTTGCAAGAGCGATCGGTGGATTCGGTCTGGTCTGGTCTCGCTAGCTCCGTGTGGGAAATTTGTTTTTCTAATACCGGTGGCCAACCTGGCTACCGTCACGGCTTAGCTTTCTTCATTCAAGGAGTTTTTTTCTTTTCTTTTCAATCTCACTTTCATTTTTTTTCTATTGTAGGTATATAAGCTATAGTTGTCCATCTGCCTGCCCTGTTTTACTTGTCCGCCTGCCCATCAATCTGTCCATTAGGCAGGCCGTCAAGGCCTGGACTGGTCGGAGAGATCGAGGCGGGACGGATGGACGGGCGGGCGGGGGGGCCAGATCAGGGCATGATCGAACCCGAATCAAATCGGTGTTACACTATATGTCAGTTCTCGGACTCGTGCTACTATTGTGTGGTAGACACCATAGGTTGGTGAAGCCAGATTGGATTATAATGGCGACCTTAAGATGTTGCGGTATGATCTCGGTGTCGATACAGCATTGATCGGTGTCCTCTAGGGAGAGGGGGGGAAAATTCTGGTGAGGAGGAAAGGCTAAGAAGAAGAAGGTCCCACACATACACAACAACGCCCTCCCTCCCCTCCATTCAACTCCATCATATCATACCGGAGATCCACAGTATGATACGATACCACCTCGCCCCCCCCCCCTCCCCTCCCCTTTTCCAACAAACCGAGGAAGGAAAAGAAGGGACTCATTAAATGCGTAGATGTTGTTGTTATACAACAAGCCCTTTACCACCAAACCCCAAACACAGAACAAAGCCATCAATATTAATTATACGGTACCGTACCGTACCATAAACCCTTAAGTTACCTTTCCCACACACGCACACACACACGCGTGAACGCACACTGCGGTCACAAACATGATACTGCACGATGCGGACGCAGCGCATCGCGGCTACGCCCTCCAAACTCGAACACCGCACCGCACCGACCACACGCCACGAAACAGGCGCTTCCGGCAGCGCGAGTACAGGTACTGCACCGTACTGTCCCTTACCTTGCGATATAAACCAGTGCTGTACGATATCTATCCATCATACATGCTGTACCGCACTGTAGCGACGTATGCGGTAGGTGGGTTTACTGTAGATTGGCGGAGATGTCGAGCTGAGCCTCCATATTTCTTTTCTTTCTTTCTTTCTTTCTTTCTTTCTTTCTTTCTTTCCCTCGCCCATGATATATATCACAAGCAGAGTATCATACAAGTGGAGTACGAGCACAAGTACCAGAAACCACGGCCGATCCAAACTCTCGGTACGAATGGCACGTTACAACTTTTTTTTTGTTTTTTGTTTTTGTTTTTGTTCCTCCGAAATGGGCGGAGAGAAAAGGAAAGAAAAGAAAAGAAAAAGAAAAAGAAAAAGATTGGGGCGTAGTAGTCTGATACAAGTACTGTACTGTACAGTACTGTACCGGTAATTTACTAGTATTACTACGAGCACTGTACGGTACTCCAGAGTTACCAGTACGGTACCTCTAACTCGTAGTGATTATGGCTTTTGGACAATTATTTGTATTTGTATTAGTACAGTACTAGTATTGTACTCGTACAGTTACAGACCGCTCGGACGGAACCGTCACCGATTCCCCGGTAGGGTTACCCTTTCCTGATGCGTTTGTTTTTTCTTTTCTTTTCAGTTCGCGCCAGTACTAGTACTCGAGTACTGAGTCTACCGGTAGCCCAAGCGTACTAGTACTGTAGACTACTGTACTGCACTCGAGTACGGTACTCGTAGCGTATCATGAAGTGCTCGGATGGCTCCTGCACAAACTATGCCACGTTAGCGCTGGGCTTTTGCGCGGGGTATTGTTGGTTAGTTTGGAGTCTGGTCTATCGTGGCCATGTAGCTTAGAAACTTACTCGTCCGGTACTGCACTCAAAGTATCATACGGGGAGCGCTGTTTTTTTTCTTTTCTCTTTTCTTTTTTCTAAACCGTGGATGAGGAGGATTCTTTCGTCACCGGCACCTCGGTTTGGGGCGTTATCGCAGGAATGTTGTTGAGCATGATAAGTACTTGTAAGTAAATTTAAGGCAAGGTATGATAGACGAGACGAGACGAGACAAGACAAGACAAGACTAGACCAGCTAGTTATCGATACCCGACTGGCGCCGCTAAGCCTTTGTTTTACCGGGCCCATCAGGCTCGTCCATTTCATTAATCAACTTGATCTACTGTAATCGGTCCTCGAGTCCTCGTTATGTCTCGGACGGAAAGCATTTCATTTTATTCATTTCATTCATTGCCTTACGGGTAGGCAGGACGGGGCTGGCGCTACTCGTACAAGTACCATTTATTCACAACAGACACAGAAAGAAAAGAAATAAAAATTGAGGAGGAGATGGTTTTTTATTGGTTTGGTTGGACGCGATGGGGATAGGATTGATTGCTCGCTTTCAGCCCTACTTTTCCCCCTTCCCAGAGATTTGACTCACTTCGCTTAACATGACTGGACGGGCGTGTCAGGTTGGCACGCGGAGAATGGGGAAGGGGGAGGATCTACATGTCTGCCACGAGTGGAGTGGAATGGGGGAGAGAGGGAGAGAGAGGGAGGGAAGGGATGGTTTTGGTTTGGCTTGTTATGAGTACCGTAGGGCAAGCAAGTTGTCCAGTCTGGTCATGTGTAGACCCTCCCCCTCCTCCCCTTCCAGGAGAAAAAGTCGCGATGGCTAGCGATACAGATACAGCATCGTAAATTATCATCGCTCCATCATGCATGAGAGATACCGTATCGTATCGTATCGTACAGTACTTTTCTTTCAAAATCAAAAATCAAAACAAAATCAAGTTTTCCTTCCTTCCTTCCCACCGGCCAAAGTCCTCCTCCACCCATCATGATTCGTCGATTCTACTTCCCGTTTCATTCATTCATTCATTTCCTCCGCCCGCGGCGCAACACCTTTTTGTCCTATTTTTTATTTTTTTATTTTTATTTTCCCCCTCCCCCGCGCGCGCGCGTGATGTGGGGCTTTCGGAGCCTTAGGCAGAGCACGACAATTTACCATACCATACAAGTACGATACAATTATCTCTTAATTTCGCCCCGCCCACGACCTGCATGATTAGATCAACAAGGCAAATCACAAACTGGGAGCAACCACCACATCACATCAATTCGGGAAAAAAAAAACAACAACAGGGAAAGCCCTCCCTCCCGTCCACCCCCTGAATGCGGGGTGGGGGAACTTGTACGGTACGAGTACTCATACAGTATGATACACCAAACCCTCGGGAAGGAGAGGAGGCGGGGCGGGGGGGGGGGAAGGGTTTCGGAATCACGAAGCGTCACTCGGGTGTCTAATGTTCGGTTACGCCTCCCCCCCTGAGAGAGGAATGTGGAAGAGAAGAAAAAAAAAAAGAAAATTAAAAAAATTAAAAAAATAATCACTATCCTTAAGGCTTTTTTTTTCTTTTCTCTTTTTCTCTTTTTCTTTTTTCTCCACAATGCGTGTAAAATTTAGTGCTTGTTTGTCGATTAGCGCCGTTATTCGGTACTATGCCCGTTTTTGTATAGTAACCGGTAGCCTTGCATAATTATGGACGGGGTGCTGTGCAGTATAGTACTCGTACATAGACGCGCGAGAAGTACTGTATATCCTGAATTATTTGGAATTTTTTTTTGGAATTTTTTTTGGAATTTTTTTTTTGTTGTGGGGTGGTTGATGAGGGGGGGAGGGAGGACAAAATCTTGACACTGGTATCATATCATGCTGCGCGGGGGGGCGGGGAGGTCGATGCATGGTGCGTGCGTATGATAAGTTATCATACGAGTACAGTACGGTACTGGAGCCCTTACAATGATAATAATGACTTGGCGGTGAGGGAAGGATAGCAAGCAAGCAAAGAGTTGGAACCGGTGGGGGGGAAAAATCGTCAAAAGTGCCTTCCTTCCTCGGGTTTTGTCCGGTCACGTGATGGGTTCGGGGTTTTCGGTTCTCATGTGACAATACCTGCTGCATTATACCGTATTATAACGTGGACGGCGCTGGTTAAAGTCGCTTTCGAAAAATAAGTGGATGAATGAACCGAGACTTTGGGATGGTAGTTTATTGTATTATACAGTACTGTGCTAACTTAGTACTTATCTATTACGACCCGATCCCTGGGCTGGGGAGCGTACTGTACGAGTACTGTGCAGTGCAGTACCCGGGTGACCACCAGCATACGGCACCATAGCCATACCTTACCGATAAAGAGCAGGGAATCGTTTGGACTACTGTAAGATGGACCTCCAAGGGCCCGGGAATCCTGCACGAATTGGCGGTCATGGGACCCGGTGACAACCCCCCCCCCGGCACTGACGCTGGCACTGGCACGCGCTGCGCTAATAATAATATCAACTTAAAGTCAACGGAGCTAGTCGGAAGTTTGACGAGATACAACCTAGATGCTCGGGGAACAGAGTGGGCGTATGGGTTCTCGCCCGGGATATTTCCGGATACTAGCCGGGAGTTTGCCGCTAGGATTTGTGAAGCTGTTAAGGTGACATGGGAACCGACGAAGGAAAACACGGTTATTGTTAACCTTCCTGCAATGGTAGAGATGTCTACACGAAGTCTTTATGCCGATCAGTCTAGTGTGCCTATGGTATACTGATAGTCAAGTCCTATGACTCCTATCACCCGATGCCTATCTGGACTGTGCACTTGTCCTTAGCTTATTGGAAGAAGCCAAATACCTTGTACTTGAACTTGTACAAATGCTTAGGTACTCCCTTTAAAGGAGAGGGCTCTGGTTTAGGACTCTCCTTCAGGGGAGTAATTATTGGAGGATGAGAGGTGGCTGAAGGAACATGAGGGTTTTTATGATTCCTAAAACTAAGAACTTGAACAAAACTAATAGGTAAGGAAATATAATGATATGGAGCTTTGTGCTTAAAAGTGACACCTGTCTCAATGTAATATGTAATTCTCAACCCAATATGTAATCAGTACTATACCCTAAATCCTTTGTCTTTGGTAGTGCTTTACCTTTCACTTCCAATCATATCACAAATTAAAAATAAATTAATCTCAATAAATTATGTAGTTTGTTGGCCTAAATAATCAATTATAATATTATGGTCAAAATGAATTATTCACAGCTACTACTAAAGCTTTATGGTTCCCAGGTTACGAATCACACAAATCTGTCAAATCTTACTGCCACCTCTATCAAAGCTGCCAGATGCCCATGCAAAGCCGCCAGATGCCCAGTTAAAGCCCACAGATGCCCAGGAAAAGCCGCTTTGCTGTAGTCCGGTCGGGCCGTCCCTGAAAAAGCCTGGGTCAGTCCGGCCGTACCTGAAGTCGGATGGACTGGCCGCTTGGGAACACTGGCGAACACTGATTTGACCAGTCGCAGTACTAATGGCAGAAGAGGGTCGGAACGAGTTTGTGGCTAACTCAAAAGGGAAGAGATGTTTGGGAGGACTGTATGCTAGACAGATATTTATCTATAATTCCTTGCCTAAACATACTATGACCCAAGCTTTATGCAGTGATCTTCCCCTATTTCCAGCAACCTTGTCATGGAGCAGTGCAATTTGTTGGACCATCCCCAGCATTTACCTCTCTGGATCCTTGCTATAGCGGCGAGTAACCTCCACCAGAAAGCAAGATATAGTTAGAGTGTATGGGAGTTGCTTCCTGTTCTATCCCCTGTCTCCTGCCTTTATCTCATCTCTCGAAGTACCAACAGCAGCAGATTCCAATTCTTGCCTTACCGACTATTGGACACAATTAAATAACACCTCCCCAAGTCTGGCCTGCCTTACTAACAGAACGGTTCCTGGTCTGGTCCAGATGGCCCACTTCAGGAACTGTCTCCCTAAATACACTCCGATCAGCAGAGGCCACCCCTCAAGACTATATTCTTGTTCGCTCTAGTTTGCATGCTCCAGGGTGCCCGCACATTGAGATTTAAAATGCTGGCACTTGACATATGTGCCAGGAGTCTATCTCAGGGGCCGCATTCCGGCCCGTGGTTCAGCTTTCTGGTCCAGCCGGGGCAGCGTTCGCAGGCGACCAGGCCGGCCAGCAGATAGCCTGCAGATGCATAGTCCGGCCCGGCCAGGTCAAAGTGAAACTGACCTGGGCTTTGTAGGCCAGGCTTTGGTGAAGCCTATGGGCTACATGGATGCCTGGGGGTACCGGTAGGCTTTTGGCATATGCCACCTGACCAGTAAATATTGCGTCTGTGCACCACTGATATCTGAAGATGCCTGCAGATGTTAGAAGATGCCCACAGATATCTAAAAGCCTGCATATATCTACAGTCCGGCCAGGACCCGGTCAGATAGGCCAGTAAAACCGGACTATAGCCTACAGTCCGGCCCGGCCGGTCACCAAAGAAGCCCAGACCGGCCGCCCTGGACCTCAAGCCTGGCCGGACTGGCCGCTTGCGAACACTGAGCGGGGGTAATATAACAGTGTAAATTTTCTCAGAGGTTTGTTTACACAGTAGCAGGAGTGAAGGCTCGTTTGCGAGTGGATATGAGAACTGCTCCTTTAGTTCTGCAGTAACAATATACACAGAGGAGTAATGAGAAATTTGTATAGGTTGCTGGGTAACTGTCAAATTTCCTGCTCAAAACTTGCTCAGGCGTGCTACAAGCATTTAATAGGTAGGAGCAGCAGCTGTTGAAGCTCCTGTAGGAAGCTCAATCACCTGGTTTGAAAGGTGGAATTCCCATTGATATCCCCAAACTCTCCTGCTGATCCTTCAGCAAAAAGAAACGTTGATGGAGCATGCCTTCAACCTAGGCCCCTCAACCACCCGCTTCTTCAACTGTATAAATATTAAGGAATCCTGCATCAATCCTGGGTTTCCCCTGATAGCATCATCATCACTGTCGCCCTCCCCACTGCCTGTCGATCTTCCCTCTCATTTTGTTTGTGTCAGTATCAACTTAGTTTGTGATGTCTGCTGCAGATCTGGACGGCACAATAGGGGTGCCACCTCCGTCACTTCCACCTCCACCACCTCTGCAATCACCATTAGCGTTTTTCAAGAAAACGGCGGGGTTATAGCAACATGATAAGGCACGATCGAACAATAGGACTTAGGTAAGGAATGAAGATCTCAGTTTGGCACTATTCTAAAACTAACGGTAAAGACAGGAGATATATATATCCCAAAAACGAAGCCATCCTCCTAGCCTTCCAATGATCACCACACATATCCATTCTGTTCCATTTCCAAGTATATCTCCCGCTCTTATTCAGACTCTCGTGCTAACAATAGAAAGACATGTCTCTTAAAGAACTCTCCCGATGCTTTCCAGCCTCCACCCCGCCCGCACCCCAGTTTCCGCAAAACACACAAGGGACTTTCCCGCCTTACTATCGCCTTCCTTCCTCCAGCTTCCATTCCCGCGACCATTTCCCAGCGACGAGCAAAGACGGGTGACAGCTGTGGGTACACGTGTACATATGTATGGAAATATCAAGCGAAACTTACTGTGGCAAACAGGATAGCTAAGACCCACTTTTGCATCAATCTCATTTCCTGGTACCCGGTAGCCACAGCCACACCCCGCTATAACAAATGCCCAAAAATCAGGATTTTTCGTCCGTCTAGCAGGGTTTCGGAAGAAACCCCTTATAGCAGATGTTGTGTGTATGGGAGCAGGGGGAGGTAATTTCGTAGAGAATTTATTCGTAATAGTGAATTTTCCCGTATAGGAGCAGTGTTCGCAAGCGGCCAGTCCGTCCAGGATTGAGGTCCAGGGCGGCCGGACTGTAGATATCTGCAGGCTATCTGCAGGCCGGCCTGGCCGCCTACGAACACTGTATAGGAGATCCCTTATAGTGGGTGCGACTGTAGGATCTAAGTCATTAGAGAATTAGTCAAAAAAAAAAAAGTATATATAGTAGATTTCCAATCACAAATCTCACCTTCTCTAGCAGGCTGTCGTTGCAAGGTAGTCAGTGGGGGTTCCTGGCAAGTCTCCTCAGCAGCAGTGTCGGCTGCCACCATAGGTTCCACGCTTTCGTTACTCCCCGTACCAGTAGGATCAATGGGGAGTGCGGGGAAGGGAGAAGATGAGAACAAAACCCGCGGAATAGCCTGGCCCCTGTGAACAGGTACCCAAGTGAAAATCCTTTTCTGCCTGGCATTATGGTAGTTGTAGATGGAATGAACAAGTGCCTAGGGGTGTCTTATTTTGGCAGCGAAAAACATTTCTATCATCAGTGGTTAGTCGAGTGGCATATCGGCTATACTGGTGGGGCACTTACTTCAGTGGTACCGAATAACTTGAATGAGTTTTCTCGTTGAACTATTTCTCACAGTTGTTGTTTTGAGGACTCGGAAGGAGTGAGGCAAATTTCTCAGCGATCTCCTTTTCATGCTAAATTCTCTAAATTGGATGACGTTAGAGAACACCTCATCAGCTATCGCAGCACACAATGCCATACCGGTGTTACCGGTAAAACCTCTACTCGAAAAAGGGAAGCACTAGTAGAAGGGGACATCCTCACATCTGCCTTTAGACCGTTCCCAGCACTAGCCTCAGCGGGCTTGGGTCCAGTCTTATTCATAAAATTACTCGCATCTATTTGTCGATTCTTAACATCCACTTTTACAGCTGCCTCCCCATCCTTCCTACTTGAAGATATGAATCTGCGGCGCAGCTGTGCTGTCAATCCCCTCTAGGGGTTGCAGCAGGGCTGAATGAAGCACGAGAAAAGCTTGCAACGCATCGAACAACCTTGGTGGCCATTGCCCTGGTCCAAGAGTTAAATATTGTGAAACCTCCTGCAGGGATGTGGCTATCAGATGGCAGAGGCGGAAGGGTAAATGTCGTGGGGGGGGGGGTAGGAATTGCGGGTGTGAGGATGTTTGGAGCTTGGGAGGCGGCGGGGGGGTAAAAAACATTTGTTCTGAATGAGTTGGACGGGTGGGTGGCTTATAATAATGCCCGGCGAATGAGATGGGGTGGAAGGCCTTGGCAACGACTTTTTTTGCTTGGGCGGAGAGGTGCTGTGCAACAGGCTCGAAACCCGGAACTGTGGAAAGTGTGAATGTTCAGCTGGAATCCAGTGGTGGTGGTAGAAAGACGTGGTTGCTCGTGTACAGGATTGGAGGAGAGGAGAGAAGATGTTCGATACTCAGACAAACAGCTAACTAATGACCCATCTATATAGACAACACCTCCACCGGGGTAGTGCCCCATACAAACATCACATTTGGGGCATAACCCCATACAGATAACACACTCCATGACAGTTATCATACACAGCTGCCTACACATCTACATGCTCCTGAATGTCTACCTTTCTCCTATAGCAGGGTTATACTACCATCATCCAGTACCGGTGTTCAGCAATGAGGAGATCTAGATAATTTCCCGGAAGGGTAGAAGCTTTAGGCAAGTGCTTCCGATCAGTTGGTCCTTGCAAAGCAGGATATGGACAGGCACCCAGGAATATGTTTTCGTACATGACAGGGATTATTTTGTGGGTTAACCTAAATTAACTGTGCAAAAACATATTCCCGGGTGCCTGTAAGTTATCTGAATGGTGGAGAAAAGTCACGATAGAAATCTCTCACCACGGTTGTTTACAAGTGAGCGTGAACAGATACGTTATGTACGGGCGTAGGACATGGTATGGCACCCAGTTTCGTGGTGGACAGTACCGGTAGTTGTTTCTACACCACGTTCTGGTTGGAAAATATGGACTTCTTTTTCCACTAAACGAACCCCTGTGGGGGCCAAGCTGCGTACCCCACAGGCCCATCCCAAGACCAAAATTCTCATCCCAAAACTGTTTAAATAATTAGCTGCCCATTACATATCAGCTATCCATATCAGCTTTCACTTATAGGCCTGTTCAGGGTGATTGGTATCATTCCTGTAACTTTCTATACCAGATGTGACTCTCTATTGGATCCACTGAATTGACTTGATTCTAGTAAAAGAATAGGGATTGACTGCTGTACCCCCACTTTGCACTCCCTCTACTCTAAAACCAGAAGGCAACAAGGCAACAAGTGGGGTTTGGAGATGGTACAATATCAGATATCATAGCAGTATTTATTGGATAATGTAGGTGGGCTGCTGAAACACTGAAAGCTTACTTGATAACATGTGATTGCTGGTGAGGAATGGCATCTCTGTCACTTTGATACCACCAGAGATTTGAGGTGAGGTGACTTATATGCTTTAGAGTCATGACTCTATACAGATCATATCCATAGATGCCAAAGGACTGGAAATCTCAACTCAGAATTTAGACTTCCCAAATCAAAGATATCAGTGCCAAATGATAGTATCTACTTATAACTACCTATCATTTCTGTCAATTAGTTTATTGAATTCAGCTCTACCACACCCACTTTAAAATTCATATATTTTTGTCTTGTTCTACCTACCATACCCCTTTGCGGTCACCTATTATGTTGTGCTCATATCTCTGATATGCAATAGTGTCGTGCAATGCTATAGTGGCTGTAGTACTTCCACCACACTGAGATTGCACATACATCAAGATTCTTTCCTTTAAAAGCATTTTTTTTTCTATGATTAAAGCTATGTTGAGTATTATGTTACTTCAGCAGCGGTGTGAGAAATCTGGGTATCCCTGTGGTGTGGGTTTAAGCACGGTGCAGTATGATATTAACTTCTACAAATATAGTAAGTTATGCCCAGACCAAAATATACTCAGTCTAGGTACCTGAATTTCTGACATAGCTATTAAAGCAACATAGCACCCAATACACCTTTACTAGTTTGTTAGTGAATAATCTGGCTATAGGTATAATCTCATTGAAGGTACAACTACTTTAAATCATTTTTCATGATGATTATACTGCAGTACTACTAGTAGCTAATAGGTTTATCATACTCAAGTACATATATGGTTCAAGATCAGCAAGTAACATAAAAGTCTTAAAATCTAGCGTCTCAGTCCTATGACAAATATCTCTATAAATCACAACAACTACTACTCAGATAGATTTGACTAAGCAAGTTAACTAAATTGTAAAAGCTAGTTAATGAGATCTAAAGCAGTCAAATGGCTTATACCTGACTACATCAGGAAACTACAAATCCTTCTAAAAAAATTTCAACCCAGAAGCTGGAGATTACAGGACTGACTATAGTATTAGATTTCACAAGTTTTTTTTACCAGTAATAGTACTTGTAGAACAGGTTTTCTCATCATATCATACAAGTAGTTGATTTTATATCATATGTACTTTTAGCAACTATGAGCCATGCAAAATAGGAACATGATAAGCTATTTATAGTAACTTAAATCACAGGTTTTTTTCTGCCTACCCATCCACCTGCTCCCAAAAAAAAAATAAAAACAAATAGAAAGCAAATTATTATTTCTTAACTTCTGTCTCACTTTAATAGGTGGTCACCTACTTTGCTGATCATATCTCCATTTGTCTAAGCTCTATAAGAATCCTTCATTCCACTGGCAAAGATATTTTGTCTGACCTAATCCTTGCCTCGAAGGCTGTAATCTCTGACTTAACATCTCCTTGTATCCTTTTTTTAAGTTACTTATCAGTATAGGTATACTTCAGTACAACATCGCAGATTTATCAGTAGAATACAATTAGGTTATTTTTTTATATATGAAATATTTAACTAACATAAACATACCAAATAAAAACTTATTTCAATTATGTTAATGATGAAACCTATCATCATTCTGGTTTAAGTATCTTGGCAGTTCAACTACAAAGAAGGGTATAAATACTATACTTGAACAGAAGATTGTTAATTATTTATACTCTTACAACTTACCTGAAACAGAATTGGATGATTATGATAAGGCTATATTAAAAGTAGAAAAAGATGGCAACTAAGATACCTCTGATACAAAGTACAACTTGCTCAGTCATAATCAGGATAGTGGGAATGAGTGAGGATGAAGCTAAGCATAGGGAGGAGTTAAAGAAGCTAATTACTAAAGCAATAGAAGTGAGTCTCTATATATAATACTGGAATGCCTCAAATAGTTTTGTAAAATTGTTGTTGCAAATATTTCCCAATCCTTTAAAGCCAATACTAACACACAATAGTGAAACAATGGCAAATGTGTAACCCTGTTTTGGAGCCTCTATTGCTTATAGATCTGTAATGGCATCTAGATATAAAAAACATTTGACTAACCTCTAGGTGTCCATACAAAACCCCCAAAAGCCATTGTAGCAAATAACTATCTGCCCACCTCTTTACAACCTGCGTTATCATCATCATCCTAACTCGTACTAGAGACATGTAAGGCGGGAGAAGATATGGCATTAAATCTCTGTAATACTCTACCAGACCCCCGATGTGAGCTATGTCCACCCTCTACCCCTATACAATAATGTAAACATGTCCTCACACCTCATCGTATTCGCTGTCTGCCACCAGAGAAATAAAATCATGCCTTTAGAACACTGCCTTTCCTCCCAGGAGGATTGGCACCTAACATACACGAGTAAGGAAAGACCAAGAGTTTTCCAAAGGAAAGAGATGGGTGTCGAACTACTATATCCACCCAGGCCGATACTGACACCCTGCAGAAACACTCTCCCACTGAGACCTTCCTGAAGTAGCGGAACACATTCTCAGCGTGAAGTGATAACAGTTTGTCTTCCAGGTACCTCGCCCCCCCCACCACCCTCACCACCCCATGCTGTCATTTAGCCTCGATGCCCGAGCTTGAGGCTGGTTTATGGTATGATGCAACAATACGGAACGGGGAACTATCGTTACCATGGCAGGGGAAAGAGAGGAAAAAGAAAAAAAAGACAATCCGAAAAACTGTTTTAATATCCGGTAGACCAATGGGACAGGGTCGCCGTGGTTTCCTCGACGCAGCATTGTGCATGAGCCGCCCAGTACTGTACTAGTATTATATCATGCACAGTATGATACCGTACTTGATATCCGGGGCTGGCGGGATTACCGACTCGTAAATTATACAGGGAAATACCACGACAAGTGGCTGCACTCTTGGGTCTTCGGTACGGTACGATTCGTGATCCGCGGCATCATAGTTAATGTATCATGCGACTATGAGTATGATACCATACGACTGCGGTTTGCACCGGACGGTGTTATGCAGACCCTGGTTGGTTGGTGAGTGAGCGTGTGCTGTACGCACGGAGATATACTCGTCAGCCTTCCGCTGTGGTTTACACGGGGTTGGCTACTAAGGGGCGATTTGTGGTGATTGCTTTCGAGTTATTTTACCTAGGGAAGATGATGGATAACCCCGCCACATCAATTCTCTGGAGGGATCTAATTTAAATCCCGTGATCCGCCGTGAAGCTACGAGCTGATATATATAGGTGAACCAAGGTTGTCAGGAGAGAGAGAGAGAGTACTTTAGGATAGGATATGGTTTTGTACTTTTCTGAGTGTAGTTAAGTGTATTCCCCTGCCCGTTACTGGCATGCGTGTTTATAAAAGATCGAATGGACTAGGGGCCACCCGAGAGGAAGAAAGCGGAGAGGCGAGGGAGTGGACTTGAATAATGAACACGAGGCCAGAAACTGCGCGGGTATCCCTCATGCTTCCTTCAAGATCCTGACGGCAATGATAGAATGTCAACGGGGACGTCGTTGCCCTCGATAGAGCACAGGATGTGACATGAAATGTTTCTTAAAACTAGTAGTATAGGGAGGGGAATGATTGGTAGCCATGATATCCGGGGTTCATGAAAGCTCCATGGAGGAATAGAGATGATCGGAAACATATTTACACTAACTAGCGACGACAGGGTAAATAAGGAAATCAAGTCAGCTAATCAAATCCTACTATGATAACTAGTGGTATTTTAGCCACGCAAACAGGAATGCAACATCAACAGCCAATGATCAATACCATGCATAATACTAAGCAGTGGACAACCGAGCATGAACACCTCTTCACTCGTATGCCCGTATTATAGCAGAACCCAAACGTTGATACAAACCAAACACTCAAAAATCCCCTCTAGCTCCACTTCAAATCTGCGTTTCTTCCTTGACATATGCTATGGCACGAGTCACACACCCCAAAGCGGTTGAATGGAATATAGGAAAGGCCCCTTCATGCGGGAAACTTGGAGCACAGCTTCCAAGCTAGCATATACCCACAGTGCCGCTCCGTGATCCCTTGTGCCATCCCCACCATACGGAGAACTCGAGCCCCGATACATGAAAACTCACTCGCCGGGTGATGGTATGACAATCCTGCAGTAGATTGTCTAAGAGTGCACATAGGAAGATGTGTGGCTGCGTGTACCTGGATACCTGGAGATGTTGATGTATGGGCGGAATCATGTGAGCAAGGGCTTGGGTCAACAGTCTTGTGTGTGTTTGCATGTTCAATTGGGGTTGCGTCCCGTCTGTGGTTTTGTCTATAAACAGTTCATAGCTAGCATACTTTCACCGAAGAGAATGAACTCTCTTCTCTTAACACCCTCCTCCAGCAACAGATCCTCGTCTCGATCCATCGTGCACTCACCCCTTTATCACTCCCGTCACCGGGGGCGCCTACGATCCAACGGAACCAGCCCGTCCAAAACACGCGGAACCACAAAAGCACAAAACATTGTGCAAGGGTGGAGATGAGAAGAAAAAATCCCATAAATTTCGCCACCAACTACCAAGCAAAAGGAGAGAAAAAGAAAAGATCTCCGTCCCAGGCCAAATCAATGCTATTGGCTAACCGTCAATTCGTCAATATCCACATATCCAACCCGAGCCAATCCTTTATGGTATTTTCGAAAAAGGTAAGGAAAAAACTGGACGGAAAAAAAAACAAAAATTGGAGATATAATGAGGAGCAAGAGGAGGAAACGAAAACTACAAAGTATGCTCCACGAACCTGCCAGAGAAAATTGAAGAGGGAATTACCAATATTGAAGGAGAAAGGTGGAAAATGCCAGCCCAATGAGGTGAGACTAGAAGAAAAAGAGAGTAACATGAGAGGAAGAAGGGAAAAAACGACAAACTCCCCCACCGAGGCAATGAGCCAGAAGAGAAATGAGGAAAAGACATGAAAAGGAAATAAACCCATATCTACAAGAAAAAAGAAACCAGCCGGATACGAAAGCAAATAGATGGAGGTTTTTGAAAAAAGGGAAAAAAGGAAAAAAAAAATAAACCCGGAAGGTATAAAGACTAAAATATAATATGAAAAACGTATTCATTCATCCTTCCCAGCCGACTTCCGAGGTTTTGACTTGACCTTCTTCTTCGGCCTCATGAAGCCCTTCTCGGGGGATCCAGGTGTAAACTTGCGCTTCTTATTCTTCCCCGGTGTACTATGTTCTCCACCGATACCGCCTTCTTCATGGAAGTCATGGATTGGTGTCAGAGCCCTTTCACCATCGAGGTCCTCAGGATCCTCGCCTTCAGCAGCAAGTTTGAATTCATTGTCGATTGTAAGGAGGTCCACGAATTCTTTGCACTGCTTCATCATACCTTCGTCAGACTTGAGGTCGGTCATGATCCCCTCAATTTTTTTCCAAAGGGCGGCGGCGCCACTGGCCCAGGCGGCCGCTCTTGATGGAGCCTTATTCACGTCCTTGGCAGAAAGTTTGTTGCTCTTGTAGTCGCGGCTCTTGTTGTCATTGATGCTATAAGACTTTCTCAAGAAGTACCTGCATTCCCATAACATGTAGAGGATCGCCGCGCCAGTCGCCAACACTTTCAGAGTATCTGGATTGATAATTCGCTCTGTGGTATCCCCGGAATCCAGCTTAAGAAGAAAGATATCTGTCTCGATTGAATGGGCCACAGTCATGCCGGTTCCGGAAACGACCCTTTCCATGGTGGTCACAACTTGGTACAGCTCATCAAGGGTCCCATACTCAAAGAAGGCAAGATTCTCAATCACAAATCTCGAGTAGCCTAGATGATTTGGCTTCGAGGAATCGACATCTAGTTTTGGGGACTCAAAGTCCACACTCATGGTCATGTTCCCAAGCAACTTCTTTCTCACCTTACGACTGCTCCTGACGATCTCATATAATGGATGCATCTTAGAGGTGAATGGGTTAGCCGTAGCACCTGACTCATTGCCGATAACATCGCGCTGATAGATGTAACAAGCGCGGACACCGTCCATGTACCCTCTTTCCACAATGGTCTCATGTTTGGAGTGTAGCATACGGTGCTCCCGATTGGAGATAGCCTGAATCGCGATGTTTGTAGAGGTTTCAAGCGCTATCAAGGCAGGAACGCACTGATTTGGTGTTAGATATTAGCCTTTTGAGAGGGAATGGAACGGCGTACCTCTTTGGGGTGCACTAATCCTTGCCTAAGTATGCTCCCGATGACCTCTGTAGCTGTAAGCGCGTAAATATCCTGGGTTGAAGTAGCCACCTGAATTATATTCTTGAGATATTTCTGAGCCAAACTGGTACTGACTCCATCGTTTTGGTTGGCATTGGCTGCGCGACTCAATCTCTCAACCTGAGGCTCACCATTCCTCTTTTCGTCTTTCTCTTCACCGCCAAACCCTTCGCTCCGATTTTCTTCGCTTTGCAGAAATCTTCTGATACCAAGAAGTACAAGATTCACCAGCTCCTTTTTGCCCACTTCAAACACCTGATCAAACGATTTTAGTATTTCGACACGCAAGAAATGGCTAGCGTGTGTTTGGCAAACATGACACAGACTCTCCAGAGCAGCTTTCCGGACAAGAGTGTGAGTCGCTGGGTCACAGAACGGTATTATCGTATCTATGATTAGACCTGATACCGTCCCCGGCTTCCACTTGGGGAAGGCAGTTTGGAACATCCCGACTTTGTCCTCAAATTGACAGTGTTTCCCAAATAGGCCGAGAATATGCAGAGTCCGGACCAGACGGTTAGCTTCTACATCAGTTTCGACGGTCTTCCCCTTGGACTTGAGGATATTGGTTAGACAGGATATCGTGACTCGGACGAGCCTATCAGTATTTTTCAGAATGCCGCTGATTGTCCAGAGGCAAGCGACAACCTCTCGGAGTTCCTGGTGCGCGGGGGTGTTAGCAATGAAGTAAGAAATGATTGCAAAGGTTTTGTATACCAGTGGCGGAAGTCTAGAGAGGTTTTTGAGCAGGCTCTGTTGGACAGCAGATAAAAACCCAGAGTGAAGACTGGACAGGACTGGTAACGCGCATCTGAATATGATAATGACCGATCTGAAGACGTGAAGATCATCTTGGTCGGTTAGATTTTCAATATAGGGCTGTAACATGATGAGTTGCTCTGGTTTGAAAAGCTTTGGATTCGCTTTAGCAAACACAGTCAGTGCTTGAAGAGTGCTCTGTCTCTCTGCCTGTAGAAAGTTAACATTATAATGCGCGCGAAAAGACGGGTGGGCGACATACCTTGTCCGAGTCTCCTTGGCGATCTAGCAGATCATCGCACATGGAACCCACCATTGTCTTACAGACTTTGAAATTGACCGAGCAGTTTTTGGTCTCGGCATGCAGGATCTGAGTTCTAATTTTAGTATTTGAGTAAATGCGCTGATGATGTTCTCCGAACTCACTGATTTGATCACGTCATGCAGCACCGCCTGCATTACTTCCTTCTGCACGACTTTGATGATCACTGCCACGCGTTCGTTAACAACCAGCTTCAACTGAGGACTGATGTCCGTTGTTTGGTTCTGCTGGCTCCCGGTATCCTCAACTCCCATATAGGTGTAGAAAGGAGTAATCCAGATCTCTTCGAAGGTTTTCCTCGCAAGTTCCTAGACTTTCCGTTAGCAGGCACAATATGTGCCATGACTTATCACATACCGAAACACTAGGGTCAGAATCCTTTATGCGCTGAACCAACGCTTCAGCGATCGCAACCTTGACAACCTCTTTTTTGCTCCTTAGGTAGATGTCTTTCAAAATCTTCATGGATCGCTTTCGAACCCCTACCCCGGCGTCGGCGGAACGTTCAATTATACTCTTGTACACCTGATCTTCCAAGTCTGTTCGAAACAGAATACATTTACCAATTAGATCCACAGCCGAATCCCGGACCAGGGGCGATGGATCTCTTAGCCGTTTGAGAATGAACGGTACCACCTGGGGTCGCTTAAGAATAGCGGGATCTTTTTGCAAGAGCTGCAGGATTGCTTTGAGACCTTTACTTCTCGTAGTTGCCTGATTATCGTCTACAGAACGGAGCAAACGGTTTAGAATGTGTTCAAATGACGTACAGAACGGCATTTGCAGAACAGTCAGAATGTAGGCTTGTCGTATCTGTGCCGAAGATATTTTTGCAACATCACTAAAAAGATCAGCAAGTGATAATTGCAGCTAGATGGGTGGGGGTGTTCGCCTTACAAATCGTCGTCAATCCAACTCTTGTCGAGTGTAATCCTTCTCAAATTTGCAGCAATCCTGGCCAATTCTCCCAAAACTTCATCTGTTTCTTCATCGTCTTGGCCTTCTGATTTATCAGAAAAGGCACAAATTCGAGCACTCCAAATTGTAAGGTAATAGCCACAAGCGCTCTGGAGACTTGGGTCATGTGCGCTGTTCTCAATCAAATGCTCAAGCGCATATCTAAACGGCCCTTCCCATTCGATCAAGTCCTCTTCCATACCAACCCCTCCACCAGAGCCTGCTACAGTGCTTTCTAGAACCTTGTCCGTTAGAGCATATATCCGGTCATCAGCTGAACTGTCCGACTCCCTGTTCTTATGACTCTCTCGTAGATGCACAACAACATCACAAATTGCACTACCCATCAATCCAAGTAAATCCAAAGCCATTGACTTTGCTGGGGCTGGTTGTTTGTCACCATCAACAATAGTGCACATACTCCCGAGGATGGATCGAAGTAGTAGCTCAGCACCCGGCCATTCGGGAGAGCCGAGTACGGCAATGAAATCTTCAGCGAAGATGTCCATCAGTACTCTGTAAGGTTGGTCCCCAGTTTTAGTTGACCTCATCGCCCGTTGCACCAAGAAATTCACCACGTATTGAGCATTCTTTTGAGCACTCTCCAGCAGAGGGTTAGACATGGTATACAGTTTATTAACTGCACCTATTGCGTCTGTTTCGCCTCGATCAGGCTCGTCCCCCTCTTCCTTTTCCATGGAGAACTCGCCGTCTTCTCCGGTAACCAAACCCCGCTTCTTTTTACGCTCCTGATAGGTCCCACTCGTCTGCACTAGTCTCATAATCAAAGCGCTGACCAGTTGTATGTTCTTCCCACCTTCGACGAGTTTGAATTGCCTTGCGCTCTGTCGGTTGACAGACAATTTTTCTAGACTTGTCAATATTTCGTCGAAGATAAATGTCCTCTGGTCAGGATATCTAGCAAAAATTTTCGCAAGTATATCCATGGCGGCAACACGGAATCGCTCCACCTTCTGCACACCAAAAACAGAATCCTTCTCTGTTGATGCATTCTCGATGAATATCACCGCAACAGCAATGAACTCCAAGGTTGTGATTGTCCCCTCTGTGACCTCTTCTAAGGCTAATAGCTTGGAAATCAGCGAGAACAAACTTGTGACCTCATGTAAAAGCCCTCCCAACACCTTTTTGTGGGCGGATGCAATTTTGAAAGCAGCCTGAGATTCTCCAGTGGATCTCATCTCTATCATTGGATTGATAGTGCCTTCAATGAGATTTTTTGCAACGCCCAACACGCTCGCTAGAAGGTCCTCCGGGTATAGTTGCTTTTCCTCCCTACCCCCAACCATGATCCGTAAGACCGTTTTAGCGGTTTTCAACCCATTATCCACTAAAGATACCCTCATCAGCCATTCCTCGATAGCAGACTCGTTGTCGTCTGATCCCATCTTGACGTCAACAGTCTCAGCTTGCTTCAGAGAGCTCTCGCAGATCTTCTGTATCCTTGTAAGATCATCCACAGGTACCCGTTGGAACAGCCCGGTCGAAATAACTTTATGGATCGAGTTTTCCAATTTCAATAGAACCGCAGTAGCTAGACATGGCGATTGTTGTTCCAGGGAGCTTGTCATCCAAATCTTCGCGTTTTTATCAAAGGTACGATTAGACGTATCTGGGGATAGGTTATCCTCAGCTTCAAAAATTGTGGCAAGGAACCCTTGCAAGCCCTTAAGTAGGCTTTCAGCCTTTGCTCTCTGATCTACACCGGGACCAAGTGTCTCCCCATCCTCGGCATTAGAATGTGATCGCTTCCGCTTCCGGCTCTTTGAAGTTGAACCCTGCCCAAGTGGTTTAGCCCCACGAAACCTCCGATCAATCTCAGCATGTTTTACATACTGAGACCGATCAAAAGTAGTTGGTGGTGGCGGTATTTTGACTGCATCAGCTTTTTGGAAACTGCCAGGTGTCGTTGATGACTGCACATGCTCCTGCTTGGGAGTTATAGACAGATCAGAAAATTGTGGGGCAGGTCGGTAGTATCCATTTATCTGTGGTACAGCTAGATGAGACCCAAGCGCCTGTGGGGAAGCGCTGGATATCGAGTTGCGTGGTACACTGCTATCGTACTGATTATAAGTGGGGGTTGTCGGGGCGTACCCAGGGGCTGGAGTGTACCCAGTTACCGGGGTATATGCGAGCGCTGGGGAAGGAGGAGGTGCAGACTTTCGAATATGTGTAAACGTGAGAGGAGGCGAATTAGTGTCTACTCGTCCGTTAGAATCCAAGACTAGAGTTAGATCGGGGAGGGAAGGGATTTATCTGTTTTAGAAAACATAGAACAATTTCGTACATTTAAAGTTCACATTGCTTCTATTTATCACCATCTCCCCGAACTTTCCGATTGCCTGATGTTTCAGTATGCTGCTTGTTATGGGCTCTTTCGGAGTCGCAGGGTCCTCCATTGTAACAAAAGACTTGAACCGACTATCCACATGGGTACAGAATTAGCCACCATAAACTTACCGTCGATTCCCGTTTTCCACAGAGCACTCACAATTCCGTCCCGCCCGGCGCACTGATCGCCGCAGCCAGCTCATGGAGTGTCTTTCGTACAAACTTTGAATTTGGGTCTGCTAAGGCTTCCCTGTCCAAGGCATCGAGTGTCTGCCTAGACGACCGGCGTTCCGCCTCGGATTGAAAGATGGGACCGGTTCCGTTCGGCAGGAGAAGGGGCAATGGTATTATCTCTAGATTCAAATATTCGTCAGTACTCTATACCCCCGATAACCCCCCGTGAGAGGCGACAATTGGTCCCAGCTGTGAATCCGGCAAGGCTCATTACCTGAGGTTGAGGGGACAACAGAAGATAACGGAGTGTATTGCAGTGCATCGTCCACGTCTACTGGGGGGATTCGCCCCTGTCCAAAGATGATATCTCCATTTGTGTTCATGGTTGTGTATTACCGGCGAGGCAGCGCACGTAGCGGAGGGCGATGAAGCGAACGAAGAAGCGGGTCTCTGCTGAATGAGGCAGCTAAAGCCGCATCGTCCGGCGAACCGAAAAAAAAAAGATGAAGCTATAGATGAGTCGAAGGTTGGATTAAACAGAGACGGTTAGTAGAAACTAGGCTATCGGGAAAGGGATGGCACAAGGTAAAGAGGGGGAAGGATAAAGCAATCTAAGTGAATGAAGGAAAATGAGGTGGGGTAAAGGAATAAGGAAGAATAAAGGGGAGTGAGAGACGGGGGAGCGGTTGAAGGACTTCGTGACGAAGTTGGCGGATTGAAGATAGAGATCGGGGGTAAGAATGAAATGAGAGCCCGGGAGACGTGCAATATCCCAAAGTTCGTGAGCAGAGCAACGCAACAGGGTTGCCGTGTCGTTCGTCAAGTTACACGCGCCGCGCTGGCCTCGGGCAGCAACAGTTGTCTGTGGCAGCCGCAAAGGAGGGAAAGCAGACAAGTAGTTACTCGTGAACTCCCCAAGTGTCCGGACACATTGGTGCAAAGGCCCACCCAAAGCGCAGGTCCTTGGCGCCAAGGTGTCCGGATATCTTTGGAATTTGCGGGTAACCTTAACCACCACCGAAGAGACCCCTTCCCCCCTGGCGTTTATCGAACGGACCCACTCCAAGGCTCTGCTCGAGCAGCTCTGTCAAAGGAAAAAGCAACTTGGGTGAAGGTGGCAAGTGGATTAGTAAGCCACCCTTTACCATGGGAACTCCTTATCCGGCTCGTGGAGCCAGGCTTTGGGAAACATCTGCTTAGTCTATAGACTAGCCTCCTCAGAACGTGAGTCGCTCACCCTGAAGTCACACCGGTATGATCACGGCTTCGTTAGAAAGCTGTTCCGTTCTTTGGTCCCTGAGTTACCACTATCTCACGTCTCAACTACCGGTATCATATTATACAGTGCGGCGCCGGTAGCAACCTACCATTCAGCCATCTCTGTTGCTGCCCAACTAGCGATTCCCTCATACTAACTGTGCGGTAAGATATTCCTCTTCGATTTTCACTAGCTGAACCCCGGTGGAAGGCTTGGGCACCATAACCAATACCTAGGTATGCAAGACTAATGGGATGTAGTGGGGAGAGGAGATAGTACTGTACCGGTATTTGAGTTCATATTGTTGCAGCTCACTTACCACTAGACGTTCATGATCCTATGCCCAGCCCCACTCCCCCCGCACATGGACACCCGCACACAGCACTGCATCTACACGAATCTGCGAAATCCCTATTTCACAGTTTCGTTGCTGCAACAGTACGAGTAGACGCGGTTGTCGCAGAGATAGCCATCCCTAGCTCTGCGTTACAAAATCCCTCTAATGTCTTATTAGCGTTCATGTGGTATTTCTATCTGAAACCTGGGTCTTGTGAGCTCATGGCGTGCACGGTCAAAAAATCCCCCGTGGAGCCAGGTGGTTGCCCTTCAAATGCTTGACATGACCTACTTGGAGATTACCGGTATGCCCTCTTTCAGTACCGCAGTCCATTGATTTCGCGTCCACAACAAGGCCAAAATACCGTCATTCGTACGGCAGCTTATGTCAGATATTAGATGCAGTTCATAAAATTTAATACGGAAGAAAGCGATGCCGTACTCTACTGGTCTTACCGGTATTGCAGGGTTTTTATTCCGGCAGTATTACCGGTAACTTGAACGGTCCCTATTGCCAAAGAAACAACACTGACCTTTCCAAATGTGTCCAAGTGCTTTATCGGAATGTACGGTACGATCGTACCCGTATTTACTGTAATAATTGAGCCGCTCGTTAGGGCGTCCAAAATTCCCTCTCTTGGATAGGGAGGGGCCAAAACACCGGGGAAACTGACCCCCCCCCCCCCCCTTACGACAAGGAAAGGGTAAAAAAGTGCCGCACCTTGCCAGCAAGGGCAACTCCAATGTCCTGGCGTGAGGTTCAATTATTCCATAAAATACGATACCGCAGTTTTAAATTTCAATACCCCCCATGATACTCGCGGCGGAATGAACATAGTTACTCTAAGGGCTTTCCGATAAATGTGCGCAACAGGATCGATCCCGACTCCCTGTATGTATGGTATGGTCTTAGGCGAAAACCAAAGCCGCAATTGGACCGGTTCTAATTTGTTATTTCAATATTTTCAATATTTTCGCTGGAGGAGGGAATTGTATTGCGCCTTCCCAAGAAGTGGCTATTACCGATTCCGGAAATATACGATCAAGTTGGCCGCAAGTGTAGGTTTTGGCTGTCCGGTCCTAGTAGTACAGTACCGGTATATCATACTTCAGGGCGAGGCCGAGCATAGCAAGTTGATGTCCTCCGCCAGAATCAATTTTGTGGAGAGCATTGCAGTACCGTTCGCCTTCTCCCCTCGTGAGTTGAGATATCCAAGAAGCACGATACTCGTATTTGTTAGCCCCTGGCTTGGGTCGCTGTATATACGGTGGGCTTGTCGGGGCTGTTTTCTTGAGTGCGTTCACACCCGCTCACTCACCCTAGATTTATTATATAAATTAAATATTATATATGGGTGCTGTTTTGAGAAAATGACTACACTTGTGTGTTTTTTTGTTTTGAGTTAGGACCAAATCTGGTTTGCATGTCAACCATACCTGCTTTGAGAAAAAGAGAAAGATAGGTCCAATATTGCTCCAAATTTAAATCCAAATATATTTCAAAGAGCTCAGAGCCTTCTCTATCAGTCACAAAATTCTGAGAATTATACAACCTGATTTGTGGCAACCGGAAAGTGTGAACATTTTCCCAAAACAGCACCCATATATATTGTTCTAGCGCATGCGGGTGCTCGGTTTGACTTAGGTTTTGGTTCGATTTTTAGCTCAAGTTTTTGATAGATCTGCTGACTTCACCAATCCCCAAACCTGCGTTCATTACGTGCATCTGGCAGAGGTACTCCGGCTCTATGAATTATTGGGCAATGTGAATTCGGGGCTGGCCACAAGTAGGCTACTCTAGGGGTAATACGCGAAAAGCCAAATTCTCAAACTTTAGCAAGAACAACCCAATCACCCCTTCTCCTACTCCTTAGCCTTCCCCTTCCCATTGATCTCCTTAAAGACTCTCTGCCACAACTCGCTCTCCTCCCCAAGGGAATACGTTAACTCGACGCTTTCTAGACCGGTTTCTTCATCACCGTCCAGGCTCTCCAACCAACTAATCAAATTGCCTAATAGGAACGCTTTGCCGGCTGTCTGGCCGAGCCCACCGTCATGTGAGATGGAGACAGCATGCAGGTGGAAGTGGTAGTATGAGGGTTGGTCTAGATCTCATTAGTAGCGATAATTAAGACAAACAAGGGGTTGGAGGGCGCACAGTGGACATAAATCTTGATCTGATCTGGCTCGATACCACCATACTTCCCGCAAATCGCCTCAGGAATTATCCTCCTCAAGTTCTTCAGCCACGGAACATGCTTCCTCTTCAGGTCCCGAAGCGAGGTGATGTCACGACGACGCAGTATGGCCATGGTGTACATACTCGCCATGGTCTTTCGATCCCACTTCCTTTTCCCCGACCCAAATCAGCTTTCCAAGTATCCCTCAAGCATAGATATACAGAAGGCAGACAAACTGACAGATCCGGCAAGAGCATAAACCCTTCCACATCATCCGTATCCTCAACGATAATGCTCTCTTTCTCGGATTTATACTCGAGGATGTTATATACCCAGTCTAACCTCCCATTACGGCGCTTCTCCTCAACATAGGGCTTGACCAGCTCCCTGTAAATCTCGGGAGTCTCGACGACCATCCTCAACTCCTGGTGTGTATACTTCCGGATATGAGTTTCCGTGGCGGGAAATATAAGGGTTATTTTCACTTCCCCATACTCGGAATCCTGTGTGGCCAGGAACGAGTGGTATATGTCATTTCGTTCCATCAGGGAGACTTTTGGGAGATGGAGGTCGTGGGAGAATTTAGTAAGGTGATCGCCGATAATGCTGAAGGCCGTTTTCTCAGCAATTAGGATTGCAGGAGTGGAATCGATTTCGCCCAGAAGGTTTACCATTTTGGTTCTTGTGTCTGGTTTTGGGATATGTTATTTGTGCTGTTTTCATCTTTTTCATTTTTTCATTCCGTCTCGCTGGTGTTAGGCTGATGGACGGTTTGGTGAGGCGGGGGTGTGGAAATACCTTGATTCAAGAACCTCGTAAACCTAAATTTCCGAAGCTTTGCTTCCTCTTCTGCTGCGTTAATTGACATGGCTTTTGGTGATACTTGTTTTCTTGATTGTTTTATCGGTGGTCGCTGTGGGGTTTTCGGGGCTGTATCGGGCAGGAGCGAGTGTCAAGACGTTTTTACACCAGCATTGTGGGGTGTTTAAGGCCGCCAATAACCGGAGGGTATGCGCAGTCCAGTGTGCCGGTCTACCGGTAGTAGGTGGGAGTTATATAATAAATATCGGTGGTGTTGCCAGAGTTTGTCGCTAGCATGAAACCTCCGATGAATCTCCGGCTTCTTAGCTCGATCCCTGCAAAACGTCGTACCGTGGCCAATTCTCCAGTATCCTGAAACCACTCTTGTTGAAATATATTTAAGGAGCACGGCTACAAAATCGTGCCATCATGAAGGTAGGGGAGTATGGTTGAAGTTGGGATTCGCTAGTCCAATTCCATGGACACTGCACCACGGCTGTGAGGGATCAAGACAACCAGGTCGCCAAGCCCTGTCATGAACTTATGTTATCGTGCTATCGGTAATCACCTGGGGGTCCCTTGCCCAAACTTCCTGCGATGCGCTTGTTGGCTCCTTGTCTTGGGTTGCGGGTAGTGTGGTTGGGCACGATCAGGGAGCCAAAGGGCTGGGCCGAAGTGCGGAGTTGTCTTGGACTTCAGGGCTAAAGGCACATATCCCTGTTCAGTGGGTCTGCAATTAACGGACACATTTCGATTGCAGCATATTAGGCCACTTGCCCATATGTTCAATACGCATCTTCTCATCGCTGGCACCATCTTCTCGCATCGATTGGCTATCGATTAGATGGGTATTTGTTGTTGGCAGAGGTTCAACAATAGCAAGAGTTTGTATGATATGATACTTGAACAAGGAACAAACTCTGATTGCCAAGTTCATGCTTGGAGTTCTCAATGAGTTAGATCACAGGGGCTTTTCTGATAACCTCAGGGACAAGATATCTGCTATGGGGCTTGGCCATGATGTGAAAAGTATTGGAGGAAAGGATTGCGCAGCGGTAAATGAGCGGAGTAAGATGAGACTTCGCTATGGTCAGATAACTATGGAAAAATAGTAAAGGTATGAACGTCTTTTTTTTTTTAGCTCTCTCACAACCACAATTGACTAACCGATAAGTTAGTGACAGGTGCATAAGTAAAACATCATCAAAGCAACCTGATCCCTCCATGAATCACTACATCCATATCCGTGACTCCACACATGTCCAGATTCCTCCGCACACTTCAGCGGTAGCAGAGGAAAGACATATCTCTGGAATCCTCTTCAAACCTTCAGACAGATCTATCATGTTCCCAACAATCAAACGTGCTCTCATGACTCCCAAGAACAACATTGATCTTCCGTCATCCTTCCTGCGCCTTCCATGATCAATCACAACTCACTATTTCTATCAATTCCAATGAAAAATATTGGCAGTGCAAGACATGTAGGCTCCGAAAACTCAAGGGGGGCGATACCGTGTTCAAACCGATCTCGCGGCCACTGAAGACGGATTGGCCTACGGTGGTCCTTGAGTGTGGTGTCTCAGAGACCCTTCAACGGCCCAGGGCAGATGCTTAATGGTGGCTCGAAACCTCGGACAATAATGTGAGAACGGTTATCCTAATCGCCGCCTCGCAACCCCGAAGAGGTATACACCTGGAGAAGCGAGAATCAGTGGATGCACCTAATTCCCGCGTCATACGCAGGCACCCTAGTCTCATGAGAACGTAGTCGGGGTGTATCTAAGTTGTTCACATCAACGGGCAGGTGGTCTCCAGGGCACCCATAACAATTGGCTTTGATAAAGTGATGCTTCGACAGTAATTTTGCATCACAGCGCAAGAGCTGGCAGGGGTGCCGGAAGACACGCGGAGATACAGGCAATGAGGCTTTTCTTTGACAATGATGCTACAGGTAAATATTTCTAACCATGGTGTCAGTTTCCCTTCACCACCGGCTTTGTGACTAGCTGCTTGACTTGATGGGGATGATCAGAGATGCGGAGAGCTTGGAGGGGATAAGTTGAATGGAGTGTGGGGCTCGAAGTTGTTTCTAAGTTATTGGGACATGCCAGCACTGTGCAATGGCTCATTAGCCCTAATGCAATTCTTCCCCATGGTGAAAGTTTAGAAAGGGGTCGGATATGGATATTGGAAACACAAAGCTTGAGAGCGGGGATGGGTTGGTTGTAAATTTGGGTCAAGCCTTCCAATGCGTGAATCCGCGTGAAAATGAATACACCCGTTTCGATCCAACCCAACGGTGGAAACCAAGTTGTGGACTAGGAGCCCGAGCTGTGGGTGATGGGCTTGATGAGACACCGACACTGCCGGTATCAGAGCATGATATCATAAAGGCTGACAGCCTCTAAACGCCACATTCAACCCCACCACCAGCCACTGTGGCCAGGCCACCGGAATGAACCTTGCCCTATTTTCTCCCCCGTTCATCCAGATGACGTTACCCAAAATTTCTTATTCCAACCTCACGTTAAAATCTCCCCAGCAGTTTGTTTCCTCTCCGCGAAGCGATTAGGGGAGGATGATTGCGGGAAGGCAAATCTCTAGATGTGCTAATTGTCGTCTATCGATTCTTGGTTCGCTTATTTCGAAAGTACGACTCCCTGTGCCGGCAGTGAGGGGCCGCCTACGGACTAAAGCGTTTGATGGACGGAGAGCATTTCGTGCATCGGCGGTCCAGCTTGAGGCGCTGGAGGTCGAGAGCCAGTCAGATGTTTTCCTCCAGCCCATCGAGGTCACCAAATCTGAAGAATCACCGAAGCCGGAGCCGGGGAACCCCACCGTAGGAGCCTCTGAAACATCTGAAGTTCAAGAACGCTCCGATGTGGTCCCAAGAGTTGACGATACCAGATACCATGAGCCAACCGCGATCGATCCAGCGGGAGCCTCAGTGGAAGCCTCGGGACCCCCGGAGCCAACCACGCCAACACCCCCGAAGACCAGCGACTCAACAGAAGGATCAGTGCCCTGGTATCTCCGTGTCAAGACCCCTGTATCGAAGTTTCACCCCCTAGCCGAGCGGCAAACGCTTCCGCCCCTTCCGGAGGATCCCCCTCCTGCTTTGCAGGCTGTGCTCACCCAATTGTCCGGAGAGGAGGGTATCGATTATCTGAAAGTCCTGGACCTCAGAGCCCTGGACCCCGCTCCGGCACTCGGCGAGAACATTGTGATGATCATTGGCACCGCCCGCTCGGGACGACAGTTACATATGTGTTCGGATAGAATTTGCAGGTGGTTGAGGAAGGAATTTGGTATGAGGCCGTTCGCGGACGGGTTAGTTGGTCGGGGGGAATTGAAGCTGCAACAAAGGAGGGCGAGAAGGCGGGGGAAATTGACTATTGCTCAATCGGGCATAGAAGAAGCTGCAGGATGGGTATGCATTACTGCCGGTAGCCAAGGACTGGTGATACAGCTTTTCACGCGGAACAAGAGAGAGGAGATTGATTTGGAATCGCTATGGGGCAAAGAGCTAGAGAGGGATGCTAAAAAAAGGGAAGCCGAGCAGAGAGTCGCCGAAGGGAAGGAGCAGGGGACGTTCGGGGCTTTTGGAAGAGGATTATCTACGAGGTTTCCCATACCAGGGAGTGTCCAAGCTAGAGCTTTCCACTCGCAATCTCGACATCCATCGCAGATGGTCACAGAGTTCCCAGCTGGGAACTTGGTCCGGTTTGCGGAAGACCGCATTAACGTAGACACGCACGTCCGGAAAGGGCATTACTGGAGGTTAGTCCCTCGAGTCTCCGAAGCATTTGACCCGGACGCAGATCTTAAGAATGCAGCGTACCTCATGGAGGCCCACATAAACCACCTGCGGAACAAGTTCCGCGGGAATAATTACTCCGGAAAATTAACGGGGGGATGTAAACTCCTCGGCCAGGGCATAGAAGATCGAACATCGACTGAGTTCTTACAATCCTACTTCAAATACTTCCCCAAACGCCCACCTCCCACGCACCTCCGTCTACACCTCCAGTTCCTCACCGAAACCAACCGAATAGCCCCCGAAAGGTACCCCCTCTCTGAGATCACATCCTTCCTAAAAACCCTCCCGGAACCGGTCCCAGCGGAGCTCTACTATATCTGCATGCGTGCAATCGCCGACTCACCGGAACATCGCTCCTACAAAATCCCAGCCTCAGAAGCCGCGGCCCTACGTCTATCCCTAATCCAAGGCCTAGCAGAGCACTTCGACCCAACCTCAACACTATCGCGGCGCATCCCAGAATTCCAATTCTGTAAATTTCGCGCGCTTGTCCACAAAGCCGTCACGCAGGTACTTCTTGCCGCCAAGACCGTCTGTTCGATGAGGCGTGCTGAAGCGGGCAAGGAAGCCGATGGCGCCATTAAAAAATTCAACATCCGCGTCGGCACCTATCCTCTCGACCCACGACTGATAAAAGTCGAGCGCGAGAGCATTGAGCAGAAATGCCAGTCCTACGCCATTCGCGAATACACCGAGCAGGTTATGGCCGCGTACGTCGCCGCAGACCACTGGACTGCGCTGTGGAATCGTTGGAAGAACTTGAAGTATATGTCTGTCAGACGGGATCAGGAGTTCTACGAGCTACTCATCGGGTTGGTGGTCGTGGGCGCGAAGCAGAAGGAGGGGGTGTATGCTGCTAGGCATATCTGGAATGACATGAGGAGGGAGACGCCCAAGGTTCCGATGACTGCTGGGATCGCGAAGGGGCTTTTGGCGGTTGTTCAGCTTGCTGAGAGAGATTCTAACCCCAGTGGGGAGTTTGCGGAGTTGAAGGCGGGGTGTAACGGGTATTTAGAGGGGTGGCATAAGTGGAGAGTGGAGAAAGGGCTGGTAGAGGAGAAGGAAGGTGCTGCTGCTAATGTTGCGGGAGAGAGGAAGGCTGGGGAGGGGAGTGAGGGGGCGATTGTATGATAGGGGAATTTTCGTTGATTTATACCTTGGCCGATTACAGGAGATTCTGTGTATAAATTGGGCCATTTTCTCTTTTCTTTTCCTTGTGTAGTTAGAGACCCACCATATATGTAGATGCATGATTCCCAGTGCTCGATGCACCTAAGCAATGTCGGTGACATTTGCTATGTTTTACTCGATTTTAAAGTATGGCAGAGTAATTGCTAGATGATTGGACATAATATAGCTTGGAGACTCAACCAAGCCCCGGTCAAAGGGGAGTAATTGCATTATGGCAGATTAGGCTCAACACTTGCAACACTCGGGTAGAAATATCGAGAAGCAAGGGGGGGGTGCAGATGGAGACCTGTGGTGAGGTTTCCGGGAATCATCCTGGCGGATTATGATATGAGCAAGTTTGAGACGCCACTCTTTCTATTTATATCCACTATCATTATTATTTTTCCCTCGTGATTCTCACTCGTTATTCATACACTCTCAGTGTGCCTCGCGCGGGTGATATCCAATGATCGTTGCACATCGCGTCGGGGATTACGAGATGATGCACGAATACCGTACCACCCTTGTGACCAGCCACGGTACAGTATGATACCGCGATCTTTGAGATTCCCGGTTTTCTAGAATGGGGGAAAGGGTGGGGGGGGGGGACTGCTAGAGACTCAAATGGAATTTTTCCAATGACGGTCACAACGTTAGGCTATAAAAATAACTCGGGAATGTGGGTGGATTCGGTTGAAGAAGCCAAACTGTCCAAGCGATGGCCCGGCCGGGTTGCCGGAAAGGACCGCCGGGGTAGGGAGTAAGAATTAATAATGTAATCGGTATATAATATACTATAGGGGAAAGAGAGAGAGCGAGAGAGGGAGAAAATTGTTTCCGTTTTGCCCAGTTTTCCACATATCA